GGACAAAGAGAATGTGCAAAGGAGACCAAGAGAGGAAGAGAGAGGGGTGAGGAGAGGGAGCCAAGACAGGAAGACGAAGAGAGTACACATAGCTAAAAAAGGATCATAAGCACTGAGAAGCTGAGGAGCTGACACGGCGAGCTATAAACGTTTAAGGTAGTGCTGAGAAGAAACATGGGTGTTTGTCTTGATTTTTAAAGGATTTTTATTTTTATTATTATTATTATTTTTGCAGTTTCAAGACAACTGTAGCCATGGCTGTCCTGGGCAGTCAGTATGCACACCTATGAGCTCAGCCCTAGGCAGCCAGAGGCAGGGGGTTCTTGAATCTGAGGCTTACACTGATACACACAGCCAGAAGCTGCTCAGAGAAAAACAAGTCTCTCTGATGGAAGAGGATACTGTCTTTGAGAGATCCCAACTCAACATTTTTAGACCCCTAGCGACTAGCCCATCACAGAGTAACTTGCCCTTCTGCCCTCTCCTGAGAAACCGGAGATCTCAAGATAAACTTAAAAGATAACCCTCCCTGATCCAGGAACTATCTCACTACTTTCCTGCTCAATGCTTAACTATACAATGCCTAAAGAACGCTTGCTTGAGATAACCTATAACCTTCCTGTTAAGACATAGGCTATCACTTCCTCATCCTTTATGTTTATAATGTTTACCTAACTCTCCCATTCTGTATGGTTTTTCCCTTTTAAAAACCCCTGACTGCAGCTACTAGGGGTTGAACTCCTCTGCCCCTGTGAGGGTTACAAGCTCGGCCCCAGTGCGCTGGTTCCCCTAATAAAACCTCATGTGCTTGCATCAAGAACGGTCTCTCTTGAATTATTGGGGCACCGGCTTATCCCAAGACTTGAGTGAGGGTCTCCCCACTCTGGGCATCTTTCACCTTGAACCTCACAGAACGTTTTGTCTTTCTCCTCTCTGACTCTGTGCCTCTCTTTCTGATGAAGCCTTATGCAGTGTAGGCTAGGCTCAAAGAGCCTATGAAGCAGAAGATAATAATAGATTTCAGACATGCCTGCCTTCCCTTTTCCAGTATCACCATGATTAATTTAGTGAATTTCTCCAATTTTTCAAAAGCAAAATTTTATTATTGGGTTTGTTTGCTTCTTTCTTTCTTTCTTTCTTTCTTTCTTTCTTTCTTTCTTTCTTTCTTTCTTTTGTAGACAGGGTCTTACTATTTGCTCTACCTGGTCTGGAACTCACTATGTAAACCAGGCTGTCCTCCAATACACAGAGAACTGCCTGCCTCTGCCTTCAGAGTGCTAAGATCAAAGACATTCTCTACTATTCCTGGTCAAAACCAAATTTTTAAAAGTTTTTTATTAAACCTGGATGTAGGAGACTGGAGAGATGGCTCAGTGATAGAGCACTGGCTTCTCTTCCAGAGGTCCTGAGTTCAGTTCCCAGCACCCACATGGCATCTCACAATTGTCTGTAACTCCAATTTAGGGGACCTGACACCCTTGGCAAAACATCAATGCATATAAAAAAACAAAACAAAACCTGAACATCTATCTTTAGTTCCAACACTCAGGGGCAGAAGCAGGCAGATCTATGTGAATTCTAGACCAAAAGGGAAAAAATCACGCCTAGCAGGCAGGACGCCTGAGTTAAATCTCCAGCACAAACTGGGCAAGGTGGCACACCTGTAATCCCAGGACCCTGGAGGTGGAGGCCTGAAAATCTGAGAATCAGATGATGAAGGTCATCCTTGTGAGTTCAAGACCTGTGTGTGTGTGTGTGTGTGTGTGTGTGTGTGTATGTGTGTGTGTGTGTTTCGAGACAGGGTTTCTCTGTGTAACAGTCTGGCTGTCCTGGAACTCGATCTAGACCAGGCTGGCTTCAAACTCACAGAGATCTGCCTGCCTCTGCCTCCCAAGTGCTGTCTAAGTCTCTCTTAGCATGTCCATTTTCCAAGCCTTTCCCTCAGGTCTGAAGCTCAGCAGCTATATAGACAAGTAGCTATGCACATTGAATCTCACTGCCACCCAAGGAATGTGAGGGGATGGTGAACTGCTTCTAGCATTGGAAGGCATGCCGGCAGAGAGTGTGATGGCCTCTCCAGTTCATGCAGGAGTGGTCATTTATTTTAGGTTCAGTTTTACTTTAGGCATATGGGTATATTGCCTGCATGTTTGTCTGTGTGCCATGTGTGTGTCGTACCTGCAGGTCAGAAGAGGGCATCAGATCCCTTTGGACTAGAGTCACAGACCATTGTGAGCCTCCACAGGAGGACATTTAGAGGTCCCCAGCATTTCTTAGTGATGAACCACAGGACCACAACATCTTCCTGCACACCTGGCCCTCTATCAGCTACAGTCTTTTATTTCAGTTTGAAGGTGAGGCAGGGACAAAGAGACTCAAACAGGCCATGGAGGTTGCATCATGTGATCTTTTCTGACATATGTGTGGAGAGGCCCACAGCACTCATGCAACTTCAACATACCAAGCAGAAAGGTGTATCTTCATGGGAAATAGAATGTAGCAGATATACAAGTATAAGTGAGAAACCCTGTTATAAAAAAAACCTATATAGATATGTATGTGTATGCATGTATATTGAGTTTGTTTTTGAGACAGGGTTTCTTTGTGTAGCCCTGGCTGTCCTGGAACTTGCTCTATAAACTCAGAGATCCGCCTGCTTCTACCTCCTGAGTGCTGGGATTAAAGGAGTGTGCAACCATTGCCCAGCATAAATGTGTTTTTGGAACAGGGTTTCATGTGGCTCAAGCTGACTCCAAATTCAAAATATAGACCATGCTGACTTTGAATTTGTGATTTTCCCTGCCTCAGCCTCCTGAGTGCTGGAATTATAGGCATGAGCCATGCTCAACCAAGTAAGTTTTTAAAAATCCAATATTATACAAAAATCTATTAAATATAGCCCTTTTGTGTGTGGAGTGTGTGTGTGCAGGTGGTGTTGCAGACTGGTGTCTTTAGGGCTGTGATCAGGACCAGCCCAACAGCCCCAGATCCGTTCCTGTGTCAGGGAGGGAAGGCTAGCTATAGACATTAAAGGAAAGGTAGGGCGTTTCAGTCCCTACTGAAAGTGCCTCAGTTTATTCATATATCATCTTAAGTAACCAACCAAAGGTGGGGACAATGACAGAAGACTTCTATTATCATGTAAAGGGAAAATAGCAATTAATTCCCTTAATCCTAAAAGTCACATACACTTGGCCCTCAGGCACTACATATCTGCAAGCATCACCTAGCCTCCAGGGAGAGATTAATCTTGCCTGGGCCTAGGTGTATTGTTATTTAGATAGGAGCCATTCACTGTCAAGGGGCTAGGGTATCCTGCAGCCATTAAGCTAATATCTTAAAGACAGTAGGAATGGCTTGGAGCTCTCTGGACTCTCTAGCAGGATGGAACAGATTTTCCCTGTATGGCCTGATAGCGGGGTGTGTGGGGTGGGGTGAGAGAGAGAGAGAGAGAGAGAGAGAGAGAGAGAGAGAGAGAGAGAGAGAGGTGTGTGTGTCCTGGGATTCATACCAAAGGGTAAATGTGTGAATCAAATGCTCTACCATTAACTTACATCCCCAGTTGTATGTTGTATTTGCTAGTTTTTTCTGTTGCTGTTGTTTGTGTGGTTGGTTTTGATGTTGTTTTGTTTATTTTCAGACTCTTCTGGGAAGAGGAAACCTCAATTGGGAAAATGCCTCCATCAGATTGGCCTGTGAACAAGTCTGTAGCATATTTTCTTAATAGTGACTAATGTGAGAGTGTCCATCTCACTGTGGACAGTGCCAGCGTGGGCAGGTGGTCCTGGGTTGTGTAAAAAAACAGATCCAAATTAGGGCAGTGGGGGTGCACATCTTTAATCCCAGCACTCGGGAAGCAGAGGCAGGCAGATCTCTGTGAGTTCGAGGCCAGCCTGGTCTGCAGCATGAGTTCCAAGACAGGCTCCAAAGCTACAGGGAAACCCTGTCTCTAAAACAAACAAACAAGCAGACCCAGCAAACTTGAGAAGAGAGTATGAGGTGTTCCTCCTCCGTGATCTCTGTTTCAATTTCTGACTTGAGTTCTTGCCCACAATTTCCTTCTCTGTGGACCTTAAGTTGTAAACCAAAACAAACACTTTTCTCCTCAACTTGCTTTGACACAGTATTTATCACAGCAACAGAAAGCAACTAGGATACTCATTCAGTTTTAATTTTGAGACAGGGTTACTTGGTATGGCCTGGAACTTCTGTGACCCAGCCAGGTGTTGAACTGTGATCCTTCTGCCTCAGCCTTCTCATTAGTTGAGAGCAAAGTTGTCCACTGTCCAGTGCTCTGAACTCCTTTTATAGTGAGTGATGTTGACCTTGGTCCTGCTGCCTGGGCCTCAAGTGCCTGGGTCACAGATAAGCACCAAATAGGTTTGGCTCTATTCCTCATCCTTGTTGGTTTTTTTTTTTTTTTTTTTTTTTTTTTTTTGGTTTTTCGAGACAGGGATTCTCTGTGGCTTTGGAGGCTGTCCTGGAACTAGCTCTTGTAGACCAGGCTGGCCTGGAACTCACAGAGATCCACCTGCCTCTGCCTCCCGAGTGCTGGGATTAAAGGTGTGCGCTACTTTACTTTTAATCAACGTGAACAAACTGTGTACTGTGGGGACACCAGACCTTGACTGAGCACATTGTCTTTCCTCAGCTTCCAGTCCCTTCTGTCCCAAGTTTTCTTTCTCTCAGGGTCCATGCCAGGTTCTCTCCTCCTGCCCCCCCCACTACTCCCTAGGAATCAGCCCCCCGATACTGCTCCAGTGCGCCGCCTGTCCGCTCCCCGCCGTGATGATCATAACATCTGAAGCTGTAAGCCCCCAATCAATTGCTTTCTCTTTATAGGAGTTGGCCTTAGCTATGGTGTCTCTTCACAGTAATAGAACAGTGACTCAGACACTAACTTGATATGATTGTCTGCCCTGGCCAGCAGGACACAACGAAGGTCGAGCCCACAGGAACCTGGACGGAAAGGGACAAGAGACACAAGGACAGACAGCAAGTAGGCTCTCTGATCAAGCTGCAATTTTTTATTTTCTCACAAGGATTCTTACAGTGGTTGAAGCAGGAAGCTTGGCAGAGCAGGGGCGTGGTTAGGTGGGAGAGGCTATTGCTTTGAAGCAGGGAGCTTGGTCTTGGCAGGATATGTTCCAAGGACACAAGTCTGTGGCAGGGGGAGTCTGGACTGCAGGCCTTGAAAGTATGCTACACAGGAAGATAAGCAGGCACAGAGACATAGAAGCTTAACTGTGTTAGTCTCTGAGAATACAGTAGGAATATAAAGATGGCTTTTACTATGCTATCCTTATTTAGGACCTTCCAGGGCTGGAAATATTTACAAGAGGTCCTATAAACCAATGGTTACTCTCAGCAATTGTCTCTCATTGCATCCACATTCCCGAAAATGGAAATAAAGTAAAATAAAATGAAAATCCATGTGGGAGCTGGGAAACGGCTCAGCTGGGAGACTTGACTTTATATCTCTAGCATGCATGGGCACACATTCACATGAACACACACTGTTGTGTCCAAATTCTGAACCCTAAAATCACTGAGGTCCATTTCAATGCCAAAGCAAAGAGCTTTTTATTGTAGTTGTTTAGCGAGCTAACCCATTAGCTTGGGACCTTCATCCATCCACCATGGCGAATGGCTGGAGAAAGACCCTGAGAACCCTCGAGGCAGGGACCTTAAAGGGCAGCGTAAGGGGAGTGTCTAGGGGTGTGAAACAGTCTCAGGACTGGTGTGCTTCCAGGCTTGGACGACCTGCCCTGTGTTGATCAACTGGATGTCATGACCCATAGTCCCTCCCAGGGCGGTTGCTGTGCTCTGCAAGTCACTGTTGTGCTCTTGTTCCTAAAGCACATGCAGAGCTGTAAAGCACAGCCCCACCAGCTAACTTCTGATTGCTTCCTTGCCATGAGGAGGGCATCTGACCTCCTAGTGACCAGGACAGGAGCGGCAAGGTCATTCGAGCACATGTTAGCTTGTCATGGCTGCCAAAATGGGGGGATGGTGACTACAACACACAGGTACACAGGCTACTCTCTCTCTCTCTCTCTCTCTCTCTCTCTCTCTCTCTCTCTCTCTCTCTCTCTCACACACACGCACACACACACACACACACACACACACACACGCGCACACACACACACACACACTCTTTAAGGATTCAGGCATTACGCTGGCCTGCCCCTGTCACCTGGCAGAATGCACTCAGACAGTATCTGGTTAGCCCAGGGTTCCATGGTTGCATAGTCTGCACGCTGGCGCAAAGGACCCCTTTAGAAGACTACTACGCCTGCCCATTTACGCTCTCTCGTTCTCTCCCTTGTGCTCTTGCTCCTCCTGCTCTCTTGCCCTTTGCTCCCCTCTCTCTGTCTCTCTTCATCCCTCCCTCTTCTCCCCCTCTCACACCCCCCTTTAATAAACTCCACGTGGTTCGTGTTCCACCGAGCGACCCTTTAACTTAAACAAAAGATCAGCATTAGTGTGGCAACCGGGGAGGCTCTCCGTAATCTCTCAGGTCGCCTGCTGGCAGCCACCGCAGACACAGGGACCCTGCTCTCGAGCCCACAACCCGCTTTCCATCTACCCATTCACTGCGACCCGGGGGTTGGGACATTTCCCATGGAGGAGGTCCAGCACCGCGCTGGCTGAGCCGCGTTTCAGCTTCGCGTCTCCAGTGTCACTGTTTGTCTTTGAGACTGCCGAGTCCTTGCGGGCCTTCCCGCCCCTGGTGAGCTCCGAGATCATGGTGCCCTGTGCCTGTAGTTTCAGTTTTAGAGAGGCAGAGGTGGAAGACAGGGACCACTAGAGCTCCTTAGCCATGCAGCCTGGGCACACCCTGCCTTCAGAAGTCAAGTGGGAGCGTTTGTGGGAGAAGCCTGTGGCCTCTGTGTGCTGAGCACATGCGTGGTTTTCCTCACCTAGCCCTCTGTTTTTGGACACCTAGGTTGGTTCCTTCATTTGGCTATTGTGGACGCGCTACAATAAACATCAATGAGTGAGTAGCTCTGACATGTTGAATGAACACCCTTGAGTGTAGCAGCTGTGTCATAGGAAGAACTATTCTCAGTTTTCTCAGAAGCCTGCGTCCTGGTGTCCACACTGGCAGGACTAGTTTTCAGCTCCTCAGTGGAGTATAAGGTTCCTTTCTGTCCACATCCCTGTCAACACTGGTGGTGTTTGTTTTCTTAATGACTACAATTCTGACTAGGGTGAGATGGAATCTCAAAGTGGTTCTGACTTGTGTTTCTCTGATGGCCAGGAACATTAAACATTTTCCATATTCTTGGGCATTTGTGTTCCATGAGACTTGTCTGGTCTGTTCATTTCATAAGCCCATTCCTTGGGTGGGTTGGTCTCTTGTTTAGTTTCTTGAGTTCTTTGTGTATTCTAGATATTGATCCACTGTCAGATGTATAAGTGGAAAAGACTTTCCCACCTGCAGGCTGTCTACTCTTTCTTTTGCTCTACAAAACCCTTTTAATTTCATGAGGTTTCCTTACCCAATTTTGGCCTTGTTTCCGGAGTAATTAAAGTTGGGCTCCTTCCTCCCTCCCTCCCTTCTTTTCTTGTTTGTTTTTTCCAGACAGGTTTCTCTGTGTATCTCTGGCTGTCCTGGAACTCTGTAGACCAGGGTAGCCTTGAACTCACAGAGATCCACCTGTCTCTACCTCTGCCTGAGATTAAGACATGCAACAGTGGCTGTGCGTGCCTGTTAGCCTAGCACCTGAGGGTGGAGATGGGAGTAAGAGTTGAAGTTTGTACTCTCTATGTAGCAAACTGAGGTCAGCCTGGTTTACATTAGAGTTATCTCAAAGAAAAAAAAATCAGGAGATGCTGTGAACTTCATGTTAAAAGCACCTTAAAATTTTATGAAAATTTGTAAATTCCCACAGAAGAAAAAATGTTTGCAAAAAACATAAAGATTAGAAATTCTGATTAAACGGGACTTTTAAAAAATATGAAAGAGAAACTGGGGTGTGGTGCACGCCTTTAATCCCAGCATTTGGGAGGCAGAGGTAGGTCCATCTCTGAGGTTGACACCAGCCTAATCTACAGAGTGAGTTCCAGGACAGCCAAGGTTATATGAAGAAACCCTGTCTTGAAAAACAAAAAACAAACATAGAGCCAGGCATGGTCCATACTTAAAATTCCAGCACATATGCCCTTTGGGCTGGAGAATCACAAGTTCAAAGACCAGCTAATCCTCAATAGTTAAACTGTCTCAAAGTGAAATAAACTTAAAAGGTATCTACAAAGCATCAGTGAGCGTAAACCCTTTGGTAGGTTTGTGATGTATTACTGTGTAGCTAATCAGCTCAACTCTAAGTAAATAGAAACAGCAAAATGTTACTGAGATTCCATGCTTGGAAATTTTGAAAGTGGCTTAATTGGATCAGGCTCAGGAACCGGCTACAATGTCTCCTTGTAAGAGAGGTAGGGCCGTTGCCAGGTCTCTGTGCTCTGTGTGTGTGACTCCAGCCGTAAACACTGCTTCATGCTGATGTAATGTCACTGAGACACACCACCAACCCTCTAGTGTCTTTCCTTTTCCTCTTTCCTCTTTTTTCTTTCTTTCTTTCTTTCTTTCTTTCTTTCTTTCTTTCTTTCTTTCTTTCTTTCTTTCTTTCTTTCTTTCCTTCCTTCTTTGTTTCTTCCCTTCCTTCCTTCCTTCCTTCTTTCTTTTCCTTCCTTCCTTCCTTTCTTCATTATTGTTTTGTTTTGTTTTCAGTACCTTCTCTTGCCTGAAACTCACTTTGTAGACCAGGCTGGCCTCACAATCACTAAGATACACCAGTTTCTGCCTCCCAAATGTTGGGACTAAAGGTGTGGGTCACCACTCCCTGACCTCTTTATTTTTATGTTATTATTTATTTGTTTTGTTTTTCAAGACAGGGTTTCTTTGTGTAACAGTGTTGAATGTCCTAGAACTCACTCTGGGGGCTGGAGAGATGGCTCAGAGGTTAAGAGCACTGACTGCTCTTCCAGAGATTCTGAGTTCTATTCCCAGCAACCACATGGCAGCTCACAACCATCTACAATTCAATCTGGTGCCCTCTTCTGGCATGTAGACAGAACATTGTATATATAATAAATAAATAGATATTTTTAAAAAAGAACTCACTCAGCCGGGCATTGGTGGCACACGCCTTTAATCCCAGCACTCGGGAGGCAGAGGCAGGCGGATCTCTGTAAGTTCGAGACCAGCCTGGACTACCAAGGGAGTTCCAGGACAGCCTCCAAAGCCACAGAGAAACCCTGTCTCGAAAAAACCAAAAAAAAAAAAAAAAAAAAAAAAAAAAGAACTCACTCTGTAGACTAGGCTGGCCTTGAACTCAGAGATCTGCCTGTTTCTGCTTCCTGAGTGCTAGGATTAAAGATGTGTGCCACCACTGCCCAGCTATTACTATGATTTTAGCCACATTTTTTATCGTAAAAAATAAATTGCATTCAAATTTAAGTATAGATCTCATCTTGAAAGAAAGATCTGTGCTCTTAGGATCATGGAAGTCCCATCCTCTCTTTCTACCTAGAAGACATGAAATTAATTTCCAAGTCTAGTGGGATAGATAATTGAGGCTTAGATTACTTTAATAAACTATTAAAATTAAAGTATTGGACTGGAGAGATGGCTCAGAGGTTAAGAACACTACCTGCCCATCCAGAGGTCCTGAGTTCAATTCCCAGCAGTCACATGATGGCTCACAACCATGTGTAATAGGATCTGGTGCCCTCTTCTGGCCTGTAGGGATACATGCAGGCAGAACACTATACATAATTGAAGAGACGAAACTCCAGATCAACCCTTCTGCCAGCCTTCACTCCTAGAGACTATGTTGTATACAACAGGCTTAGAACCAAAACTGAACACAAAGGAACTCCAAACACCCCTAGCCTCCTTGGTACTTGCATCCTGGGGATTGTTTGACTGCCAAAGAAACTCCCTTGTAGTCTCCAGGAAATTCAATTCTGAAAAATATTGGTACAATAGACCACCTGAAAGCCATAGAAACCACAGAATGTTCCCTCCCACTACCAACCTCTGAGAAAAATGGGTACACGGGTATTACACGCCAAAAATATGACTTTGAAAAATCTCTTGATTGTTCCCCAAATGTTAACCAATCAGAAACCAACCTGTACCTACTGATGTAATCCTGTAACTTTTGTCTTTAAAACCTAGCAGTAGACAGGAAACTTCACTCCCTCTGGAGGCTGCTGTGTCAGCTTGCTAGACGAGGTCCCTGTCATGGTTGGATAAACAAATACAATTAAAACCTTGCTTTTACAGTTTAGTGGGTCTGTCTTCCTGGTGGTCTCTGGGGATCTTTGCAACTTGGGCACAGCAATAATAAATAAATCTTTTAAAAAATTGAGGTGTTGATATCACATCTGGATGGTGCTCTTAAGTTGTTTTGGTTTTTGAGACAGGATCTCTCTGGATAACCTAGGCTGTCCTAGAAAACACACACACACTTATACATACATATTTTATAAGGTTTAAAATAAGTAATTTAGAGCTGGGTGTTGGTGGTGCACGCCTTTAATCCCAGCACTCGGGAGGCAGAGGAAGGTGGATCTCTGTGAGTTCGAGGCCAGCCTGATCTACAAGAGCTAGTTCCAGGACAGCCTCCAAAACAATACAGAGAAACCCTGTCTGGAAACCCCCCCAAAAAAATATGTAATTTAGCTTTTTATATGTTTTGTCTGCATGTATGTCTGTTCACCACATGCATGCCTAGTATTCATGGAAGCCAGAAGATGGCATTGGATCCCTAGGAACCGGAGTCACAGACAGTTGTGAGCTGCCAGGTGGGTGCTAGGTATTGAACCCGGGTCCTCTGGAAGAGCAGCCAGTGCTCTTCACTGCTGAGCCGTCTCTCCATCTATTCTTCCCCCCCTCCTCCATCCTCTGTTTCATGGCTCCTCTTGTTTTAACTCCCAAGTTTACTGTTGCAGGCATGGCTCATTGAGTTCACTTTTCCCGTGCTACTTTGGAGAGTCTAAGGTCCCCTGGCTTGTCTTAAACTCACTCAACAGCTCTAAGAGGCCTTGAATTCCTAATCCTCCTGCCTCATCCTCCCGAGTGCCTGAGACTATAGGTACAGGACACCATGCTCACTGTTCCCCCTGCCCTCTTTCTTTTTCTTTCTTTCTTTTTGTTTTGTTTTGTTTTGTTTTTCGAGACTGGCTTTCTCTGTACTGTTTTGGAGGCTGTCCCGGAACTCACTCTGTAGACCAACCAGGCTGGCCTCAAACTCACAGAGATCCGACTGCCTCTGCCTCCCAAGTGCTGGGATTAAAGGTGAGTGTCACCACCCCTGGTCTCATTTGATTTCTTTTTATGCTTTCCTTCCAGTCCGCTTTACATATATTTATTCATTAATTTATTTATTTTTGAGACAGGGCTTATGTAGTCCTGATTGTCCTGGAACTATGTGGACCAGGCTGGCCTCAAACTCATGAAGATCCACTGGCCTCTGCCTCCCAAATTCAGGGATTAAGGACTTGAGGCACCACCACAATCTTTTTTGTATTTTAATTGTTTGTATGCCACATGGCTGCAATGTGTGTATAGGTTCTGGTGGAGAGAATGGGATCCGAGGATCTGTAGTTGCAGGCAGATGTGAGCTACCTGACTCCTGGGAACCAAACTCAGGTTTTCCTAACTGCTAAGCCATGTCTCCAATTCCTTCCAACAAAAATCTGAACTATTTTTAATTTTTAAAAGATTGATTAATTCTGTTTTGTCTGCATGCCTATATGTGTTGGGGCTAGCAGGCTTCGGATCCCTGGAACTCAAGTTACAGAGCTGTGAGCCACCATGTGGATGCTGGAAATCAAATCTGGGTCCTCTGTAAGAGCAGCCAGTGCGATTGTCACTGAGTCTCTCCCTAGCTCCGTGGGATTCAGTTCTCCCCAGGAGCTCTGACTCCTGTGTCTTCCATAAACTTAACTTTTTTTCCCTTTGGTTTTTGAAGACAGGGTTTATGTGTAGCGCTGACTGTCCTGGAACTCATTCTGTAGCCCAGGTTGGCCTTGAACTCAGAGATCCACCTGCCTCTGTCTTTTGAGTGCTGGGATTAAAGTGTGCACCACCACGCTGTTTCAATTCTATCTTACTAGTTTATTTTCACATCTAATTGCTGTAAATTTTAACACTTCCCCTTTTCCTTGGTAACAGCAACTCACTTTATGCTGTCCAAACTCACCGCCTAGTTACTAACAAGGCTTGCGTCTTAGTCCTTAGTCTGGTTCCTTCTTCGAGGCTGCTTACCATATAGTCTTTCCACTTTCCACTTCCCTTCTTTCCCAACACACTGTGAACCACCGCGGGCGGGCGGCCGGCCGGGACTGCAACTTGGAGCTGTGCTACAGACGGCTAAAGACAGAAGCGAACTCGGGTGTGACTCGGTTTCTCCAGCTCACTCGCTCTGGTCAGAGTGCCTGAGACTTCTGCGCAAGCGTACTGGAGCTCTTGAGCTCGGGACAGGGGCTGGGGTGGGGCGATGAGCTGTGACTGCCTGCTTATTGGCCCTAACGCTGACAGACAGGAAGGATCTGCTAAGTAGTTGCTTAGGAACAACCACTGACCAAAAAAAATAAATAGAAGGCGGTGGCGGGGCAGGAAGCCGCTGGTGTGGGTTGGATCCCAGCCAGGGTGCATGACCGGCGTTGGTGCATCCTCTCTGCCAGAACTGGGGCCTGGAAGTCTGTGGTTCCGCAAAGATGTGCTGCCACCCGGGTCACAGAGGACCCTCGCAGCCCCCAGGAGTTCCCAGCCTCGAGGCTCAGGGTTCCGGGGCAGCTTCGGGGGGCTTGTCTGTCCTAGTCTGGTTTATCTCAGGGCTGGAGTTCAATCCCCTGGCCTGGGAACATGGCATTCCTGCCTGGCTGGCTGCTGATTAGACATTTTCAATAGCAAATTCGAGCACATCTTCGCTGGAAACTCCCGGTGGCCTTGTATCATTCTAGCTAGCCAAGGAGGACGCCAGAGGTACTCGGTGCTTGTGCTTGAGACCTTCGTTCATTCAGCCTGGTCTTGAGCCCGCCCCCCCCCTTCCACCTCTCTGCTGCGGTGGAAGCTTTGCTGACATGCTATCCCAGTGCCATGCGCTGCCTGCAGCTCAACCCCACTCAGGTCTTGCATGCTCGGAGCACACTGGCACCCTGTACAACAGTCATGCATGCAAACAGGTTCTTGGACTGTGAATGATCAGGGCAGGGGCTGTGTGTTTTTAAAATGTGTATTTCAACATGGCATTGGTGGCGCATGCCTTTAATCCCAGCACTCGGGAGGCAAAGGCAGGCGGATCTCTGTGAATTCGAGGCCAGCCTGGTCTACAGAACGAGTTCCAGGACAGCCTCCAAAACAATACAGAGAAACCCTGTCTCGAAAAACCAAAAACCAAAACAAACAAAAAAGAGTGTATTTCCCAAGTCTTACGTGATCATAATGAGGGTTCAGCAAACTGATAATGAGCCAAAGTGGGAACTCTTAAGGGTTTGAAAGTGATTTAAAATGCCAGGTTGGGGCTGGGAGATAGTAAGTGCTTGCCACTGACTTGGGATCTCTAGGCCTAAATGTAAGCCAGAGGTGCTGGTGTGGGTCTGTGAGTCAGTGGGCAGGTGGATCCTTGAGGATCCTCAGCGTGAATCCCAGATTCAGTCAGAGACCCTGCCTCAGCAAGCGGAAAGGCAGACAGACGGCAGACTAGGACATCTGGCCTCCACACCATGTCTGCACACCTACCTGCACAGTGCACAGAGACCACACAACCTGAGCTGGGGACGTGGGGACATAGCTCAGTGGAAGTGTTTAGTTGTCAAGAGGCCGACTCCATCCTGAGCACAGCAGAATTAAAATGTCAGGCGGGGCCGAGGCTCATGAAGAACATGGGCTCCGTCTTTTTCACTTTGAATCTCAACAGCTCTTTACTGGGGTGGTGTTCTCTTAAAATACTTGATTAAGGTCACGATGACGCGTGAAGGCAAGCCTGTTAGCTGTGGTCCCACCGCCTGAGGAACACCCCCTGTTCAGAGTGGAGACCGGGCAGTGAGCCAGGGAGTTTAGGAGGGTGTGTTTGTGCACTGAGGACAATGAGGATGCCGAATCCAAGAGGCATTTATTGTAATGAGTGCTCAAGGAGGGTGGAGGAGGGCGGGGTTCCCCATCTAATCCTCTGAGGCTCGGGGTGACTCATTTTTCTTCCTTGGACCCAGGGGCGGGGTTGGCATTTGTTCCTGCAGTTGGGCCCTGCTCCCTCTGGCCAGTGGCATCCACTGTGTCTCCAGACACTAAAGCCACATTTCTCAGATAGTTGGTATTGAAGCAGTTGGCTTGTTTGTCCCCAGGAGACAGGCTACAGCAGAGGGCAGGATCTTTCCAGGAGTTCTTTCGGGGGCCGCAGAGGTCCTCTATGAAGGCTAGTTTCTGAAAACGGAATGTAAAGAAGAGATGATGGGGAGGGGTGGTCCGGGGTTGGCTTGGGGGCCCCTGGTCCTCCTTGGGTCATCGTCCACTGCTTGCCCACTGGATTTCCTCCTGAGGCCCAGAGACTATGCAAGTTTCCCCAGCACAGCAAGATTCCTTGTGACAGATGTGCACATCTAGAAATGCCAGACATCTGAGGCCCAGGGCAGGGATAATAGGTCGAGTCAGGAGGGAAGGCATCTGGAAGGCTGAGAAAGGCCTGGTTCTTTCCTCATGTGACCTCTGTGACAGGCTTGAGGGACTAGGGAGAAGGGCCACCTCTACCTCAGCCTCCTCCCCACACACTCACCTCTTCTTCGCCACAGCAGGCCTGTTCTGGGAAGGGCAGGACACAGCAGCGGGCGGTCATGTTCTGGATCAATCCAGGGATCTGTTTACTGGGGTTGGGATGAGAGAGGAGGGAATCAGGGTCTGTGCATCCAGAGGCTGTCAGGGCCACAGATAGTGGCCTATGCCTATTACTTGGCATAGGTACCGAGGCAGGATGCTTGGTTCCATTCAAGATCAGCCTTGACCACAGAGTGAAACTCTTTTAAGACACCCCTCTCCCCCCACAAACTACCCAAATGGTCCTTGGAGGTCATGATTTTGTTTTCCCCAAGGGCACCCCAGGAAGGAGGAGGTTTGGACAGGCAAGAGGATTGGGAAGATCTAGGTAAGACTCACTGCTTGGTGAGAACTCTTCCATTTCCACAGAGATGGCCCATGAGGTTGGGGGTGACTCGGCTGAGGTCAACAGTCAAGATATCCCGGTCATAGTTGGGATAGGGAGCCCGGCGGTCAAAGCATTCGTCCCGGGCGGGGCTAGGAGGGTAGTGGCAGCACGAGTGGGGGTGGGTCTTTATAGCCAGCTCCCGATCACAGTACTCATCCAGGGTGTCTTCCCACTGCGGACCAGAGACACAAGTCAGAGGCCGGGCTGCTTGACCCCTCCGACCCTGGCCGCAACTTAACACTATCATCCAAAAGGGCCGGGTGAGGAACTAGAGGACCAGGAGGCAGCTGTGGCTGTGTGGGCTTGGGGCGATGGGAGGGAAGGACACAGATTAGCTCCTAGTTGGGCACTGGAGATGAGCTGGGACAGAAGGTACAGAGGGTCAGCGGAGGCCAGAGCTGGACGGACGGACGGATGGATAGCAGACAGGTCACGGGTGGTTGAGCCCAGGACGACAGCACGAAGACTCAAGGTGAACAGACTCAGACGACAGACACAACGGATGGACGGACAATCACAAGCAGACAGACGCAGGTGTGCTCATGGGAAGAGCATGCCGGATGGCGGTAGAGTCAGCAGTTGGAGCTGGGCGGACAGGCGGGCAGGCAGACAGGCTCCTGAGGTGGCTGGGAGCCCACTTACGGCGTTCCGCATGCAGGTGTGGTTGTGGCCCTGGCGGCAGCAGCGCTGGAACTCCATCTCCAGCCGGGTCAGGGCCTGCAGCTGCCTCTGGATGGGGTCAGTAGCTGGGAGGTTGCGCGGCACGGAGCGGAAGCGTCTCAGGACACAGATGTTTTTGACATTGTGTAGAGTGGGCAACCCCGGGGGAAAAGGCAGCTGGGGCCCCGAGGACAAGGCAGTCTGGTGGGCGGGGCAGGGCTGGGGCACGTAGTGTGGCTGAGGGGCTTCCTCCTGGAAGCAAGAGAATCGCTCCTCCCCCTGCTGCTTGCAGCACCGGTGGGGTCGGGTCTTGACAGACAACTCGGTCTCACAGAACCTGGTCATTGCGTCCTCCCACTAGAGCGAGAGGGGTGGGTCAGCCCAGCGATCCATTGTCCATGTTCCTGCCTTCCTCCCAGGTTCCAGGAACGGGACCCAGGTCAGGTAAAGAAAGCGGCATGGCTGTCCTGTGCTCTCCGGGCATACTGAGGAGGCCTTTTAGGTAGAGCCAGTGAAAGAGACCCGAGGCTCCTTTGTACCCAGGGTGAAGTGTGCAGCCCTTACGCACGCACGCACGCACGCACGCACACGCAGACACAGAGGCATGCACACACATACATACACTGTCTGGAGGCTAAGAGACACCCCAGCACCGGCAGTGAAACCCTTACCACAAGCTTTGCACAATCTAGGCGGTTAGTGTGGCTGCGGCAGCGACAGCAGCGGGAATAGCCAGTCTCCAGCAAATTGAGAGCCTCTCCTTGGCGACTGAGGTGGGAGTAGCCAGTCTGCGGCAGGTTCCAGGGGCCATACACCACGTGTTGGCGCTCAGGAAGGCAGATCTGGTTCAGATTGTCTGCAGAAGGCCGTCCAGGAGGGAAGCCATCCAGCCGGTAGCCCCAGCCACCTCTCCGGCCCTGCTGGCAGTGCTGGGCTGGATTCCAAGATCGAGGTCCTGGAGAACCCTGGACCACGGAAGGGCCTGGCCTCTCTAGAACAGGAAAACAGTGGAGAGGAGTCCGCTAAGAGTGGATGAGCTGGAAGAATTGGAAGCCCTTGGGTTGAAGAGAGAGGATCGGGAGCATGTGTTGGAAACTAGAAGCTAATCTGGGCTCCTTACCGTCAGTCTCTGGAAGGGAAAGGTAACTACACCACGAACCTGGCATGCTCAGGCTGCATTACTCCTTCCTGAGGCTCAGGTCCTGCCTCTCTCCGGGGGTCTGAGCCTGAGGGCTAAGGCACTGGGACAGACAGACACTCACCCTCTTTCTGCCTGGCATGGACGATCTCCTCCTGATGTTGGACAGATGGGTATACTAGGGCAGAAGTGTGAGCAGAAGGCGTGTTAGGATGGGCACCTGTAGAACGGGCACCTCCCAGTCCCCACACAAGAAGTAGCTCAACAGAAGCAAAAAACAAATGCCATCTTACATCATTTAATCCTGTACCTAAGACAGCATTATTCCCTATCTCCTTCCCTCCTCTTTTTAAAGGAAGGGCTTCATGTGCCCCCAGGCTAGCCTTGAACTCTAAGAAGCGGAGGATAACATCTGGTGCTCGAGCCTCCTCCCGCCTCCTCCCGAGAGCTGGGATTACAGATGACTGCCACCACAACCACTTGTGGCGCTGGTGATCAAACCCAGGGCTGCGCTGTTGCCAGACAAGGCTCAGACAAGTAATGGGCATAAGTGGCAGAGCTCCCCACCCTGTTGGCCTCCAAAGCCCACGTTCTGGAGTAAAGGGGGGTCACTTACTTTCCTTCTGTTCAATGGAGACTTGGGGAGGGGGCTGCTCTTCCTGCAGGGGTATGGCTTCTTGAGGGGTAGGAAGGCCCACTGCAAGATGGGTGAAGGGCGTGGTGATCAGACAAGTATGGGGGGGGGCCGGGCGGGATGGGGCAGGGCTAGGACCACACTCACCTCTGCTTTCTACAGACTTGGGGGAAGCGGGCCACTCTTCCTCCTGGACAAACAGCTCTTCTGGAGATGCAGGGGGCTCCACTACAGGACGGGCAGTGTGAGCAGTTACCCCTCTAGTCAGACAGCAGTAGGTGGGGGGCCCTCCCCCCCTTTAGAGTAGGAAGTGTGCCAATTAGAGGTCTAGAGGGCAACTGAGAGGGGCCTGTGGTGGCCTTACCTTCCTTTTGTCCCTCAAAGAGAGGGTCACGCAGAGAAGTTTCAAAGTGGTCACCCACTCGGAGTCTCCGTGTTTGCGATGGGGAAGGCGGTGCTGCATAGCCAACTAGAGGCAAGAGGGGAGGCAGTCAGGACCCATAACTCCTCGTCTCCTGCTGCTCCCCCAGCACCACAGCAATCCACCCTGAGTGCGTCTGTCCCCATTGGAGTTCTTGGGCTGGAGGCTCTCACCTTCATGAAGGTGCAGGAAGAGGCTCTCTGGCTTCATCTCTCTCGGCTCTGAAGGCTTGGAGGCTGGAGGAAGGAAGAACAAGTCAGGCAATTTTGAGAGGTCCTTTCCTGATCCTAAGCAAAAGATGGAGAGGCCATGGGGCTGAGAATGGAGAAAGACCACTGTGTGGGAGCACTCCCTGACGTGCTCTCCCACACCAACCTTGATGTGAGTGGCTGGGTTCTAAGAAAATCTGAGTTCGTTTCTTTTTTTTTTTTTTTTTTTTTTTTGGTTTTTTGAGACAGGGTTTCTCTGTGGCTTTGGAGGCTGTCCTGGAACTCGCTTGGTAGTCCAGGCTGGTCTCAAACTCACAGAGATCCGCCTGCCTCTGCCTCCCGAGTGCTGGGATTAAAGGCGTGCGCCACCACTGCCTGGCCCCTGAGTTCGTTTCTAAAGGGAATGTGACATGTGGCTGGGAAGGGAGGTACATTTCTTCCATCAGAATCTCCCTTGCTTGGGTCTTATGACTGTCCCCCATAGCCACTGCTCTGATGGTCCTCTAGCTTCCAGGGGACCCACCTCTCCCCAGACCTCCTCCTACAGGCCTTTTAAAGAGGGTCTTCGGGTAGGAAGCCCAGCCAAGTGTTGGAGTGAGTGCAAGTCAGAGGACTACTGTGAGAGTCAATTCTCTCCTTCCCATGTGGGTTACTGGGATAGGATTCAGGTCACCAGGCTTGGCAAGCACCTTTACATACTAAGTCCTCTCACTGGCCCTCCTTCAGCCGTCTGACTTAGAATGTGGGCATCGATAGCTGGACTGAAGGCACAAGACCAGGGACCAGGACAATGAGGTGAACCTTTGCCAGGCACAGGCTACATCTACTGAATAATATCCAAGCGTCTCCCTCCTATCCAGAGTGGGCATTCCATTTTGTTCAGACTTCAAAGCAGAGTGTATGTGCTTGGTAGAGCGTGAATGTGGATATCCCTGACTCGCCTTCTAACCAGTGAGTCAAGGCTCCTCGGGTCAGTAGACTGAGGGCCTCCCCTGCTCCCGTCTCACAGTCCCTCCTCAGACATCTCCAGATCCCTTAGCCTGTAAATTCACCTGTCCTGTGTTGCCTCTGACTCCATTTTTTGTGTTTCTTAGCAACTATCTCTCGGTGTCCCTCTCCTGCCCCACTGTGAGAATGTCCATAAAAAGAAGTCTCACAAGTCAACTGGTGATGAGCTATTTGGAGGCAGGCTCCTCAGCAACCGCTACCCCACCCCGACTCACCTCCTGCAGAGGCAGCAGAAGCGAGGGCCAAGCAGGCCAAGATCAAGGGTGCTCTGGATATGGTCCCCATCCTGGGGAAGAACTGGTCACTGGCCACCCAGAAGCTTGTTGTCGCAGGCAGATCAGGACTTGAAGGTTTGAGCCAGTTGCTGCAAGCCTGCTCCTCTCAGTGCTGGCACTGCTGTTGTGAACTTCAAGGCCGGCCGGCTCCCTTTATACGCTATCTCCCGCCCTCCTGTTTCCTGCCTGACTCAGTACCAGGGCTCCTCCTCTCACAGCCACTCCCCTCAAACTCATCCTGGAGCCTCCTTGGAAGACTGGGAGTAATGGAGGTGATGGGAGTGAGCATTCGCATGACTCCAAAGCTGATGCAGAGAAGCATGGAGCAAGTTGATATATGAATCCTTAATCTGGATACTATCCTCTGTAGAGAAGGATCTCACAGCCTCCTCAATGGCAGTGGGGAAATGGCACTGAGGGTTTTGAGTTACTCAAGGGTGGGGGAATGGCTGCCTCAGGCAGTTCCTCAGTATCTCTTTTCCTCAACCTTGGGGCAAGAGGAACACAAGACAACGCATGAGCCCCTTCCCATTCTGAGTCAGATGAAGACACAGGCTCGGCTTCAAGTTTATTTTTTATTCTCCTCCGATATAAACAGCATTCCTTCCTGTACAGAGCCCCCCAAACCAAGTGCATTTCCAGGAAAGCTGTCTGGAGTCTGGGACATTCTGGGCTCCCATGGCAAGGGCCAGGTAGCTCTCATGAGTCTATGCCTCCCGCAGCAGTGAACATACTCAGAACATTTCTTCAGCATTGGGGACCCTGGCATTCTGTAACTCCAGCAGCCTCTGCACAGCCTCGGCCAAGCCTCGCTCCCCCAGCTGTCGGTTCTCTCGAGTCCGGACGTTCACCGTTCTCCTATTCTGCTCTCTCTGGCCAACCACTGCAGGAAGAGGAAAGGACTGCAAACCCAGGAGGAATCACCCCATGCAGGATTTCCTTTTGCTTTGCAGAAACTTCAGAGTCCTGCACCTTTAGGCAGGGTAGGAGCAGAGCCCAGACATGGCTTAAAGAAGTCCACATCTAGTTGTGCCTGCCCTGCCGCCGTCCATTCTGAGGAGAAAAGGGAATGGTCCAGGCTCCACTCCTCTTACCATCACAGGAAACCAGGGCTGGAGAGTCAAACAGATGGAGAGCCACACACAAAGAGAAACACGTGCATGTGACCTGGGGAGGGTACAACACAGGAAGGGAAAACGGGGAGGGGGGGAGGGGAGGGAGGGACTGTGGCACAGCTTGCTCTTAGTGTGGGTCAGACAACTGGCCTCTGTGATTCCCAGTCAGGCGGTCTGGCTGGGAGCTTCTGCTTCTTGCCTTCAGAAACCCAACAGCCAGGAGCCACTTCCTTCCTTAAGGCCTTTCTTGTCCCCCAGAGCTGCCTCCACCACAACAATAAACAAGGCTAATTCATTAATGCCTGCATTGGTTTTCGGTGTTGGGATCAAACTCACGCTCCAGAGCTCCAGCCCGGCTCTTGGTTTATTGACAGCCCTGCTATATATAGCCCAAACCAGCTTCAAACTGCTGATCCTGCCGCATCACCCCCCCAAATCCTGGGATTACAGGTGTGCCTACCATGCCTGGCTTCAGTCAATGTCTTTCTACCCCTGTGCTGTCCCTTTCTGATGTTGGCTTGGTTCATTAACAGAAACATCCTAGGGTAGGGTTAATGAGAAGCAAACTGTTCTGAGGGATGGAAGAAGTGTGGGAAGGAGCAATGGAAGGGAGGCAGATTAGTCAGGCTCCCACCCAGCCCAGGTAATGAGCCCCAATTAATCCAGTGTACACAGTCAAACAATAGACTTAATACAGAGAATGCAGAGCCTGGGGCTTTGAGGTCCAAAGATAACCTTCTCTTACCAAATTGAAAATTGTAGTAGGCAAGCTGGGCCCGGCGGACTCTCCTGCTGAGGGTTAATCCAGAGTCAGCATCGAGGTCACTGACAAGCCCTGCAGCCTGTAGGCATTGTTGTACCTGGAACATAGGCTTTGTGATGAGTAAACTACTTTTTTCTTTTTGAGACAGGGTTTCTCTGTGTATCTCTGGCTGTCCTGGAACTCACTCTGTAGACCAGGCTGGCCCTCGGCTCGCCTGCCTTTGCCTCCTGAGTACTGGGATCAAAGATGTGGCACCATCACTCAGCTGGTGATGAGTGAACTTCAAGGTAAGCGTGAGCTACGACCGCTGGCCTCTGTCCTTCCTCAGTCGCTCTCGTCTCCCACCTCGGTGCTCCCAGGTGTTGGCCGACTCTTCTGAGACAGAGGCCTCTTTCCATCCCTGATCCAGAGCTCCTTGTGAGCTTCTCACTGAATCAACTCAATTATTCTCTGGGCTCTGCTTGCTGTTAGGCACCCACTGTCCCAACCAGCTGTCTAACTAACTTTAGTACTTTCCATATTCTTAATCTCCTTAAAAGACAACTTCATAGCCCTGTGGTGATGGCGCACACCTTTAATCCCAGCACTCGGGAGGCAGAGGCAGGAGGATCTCTGTGAGTTCAAGACCAGCCTGGTCTACAAGAGCGAGTTCCAGGACAGCCTCCAAAGCCACAGAGACACCCTGTCTTGAAAAACAAAACAAAACGACAACAACAAAAAAGACAACTTCACGCAGCTCAGGCTATGGACCCATGGGTGAACATGGACTTTTCGGATGCTTAGGATTGTAGGCATGCACCTGGCTGGTGAGCTGGAAACTCCCGCGGCTCTGTGCATAGCAGCTGTATATGCTGCCGACTGAACTACATCCCTAGGCCGCACCTCTAACTTCTGGAAAAGGGTCTCACTATCAAGCCCAGGCTGGACTCAAACTTGTGACCCTTCTGCCTCAGCTTCTCAAGTACTGGTGCTAATGTGCTACTACTCCTGGCCATCAATTCTCTTTAGAAAGGAAAACTAAACCAACATAGTTGTGCTTTGTTGGCAATATTAAGCATCTATTAATCTGTTTTTCACACATCTGTACAAGGCAGGAATTGGCTTTGTTTCTGAGATACAGAATGTTCAGCACGCATGACAGCTGCCACTCAGGCCTTTCCTGACCAATGGGGTCAGATGCCCGACTGTTTCTGTGTCTGCTCTTCCCCTTGCCCTCAACTCACCTGCCTGGCATATTCCTCCTGCTCTGCTCCCACAGGGATGACTACCACCTGCAGCGGGGACAACCACAGGGGCCTGTTGGGAAGATACGGGAAGAAATTATTCATTGACTGTAGGGAGATCTGAGAAGGAAATACACAGGATAAGATCAAGACCTAAGGCATGAACTATGTGGCTGGAGAGAAGGACGGAACTCTTGTGTCAATGACTCACCATTTCCCCCCACAGCTTTCCGCCAGTACTCCCAACATCCTTTCCACAGAACCAAGCACTGCGCGGTGGATAAGGACTGGATGCTCCAGGGCCCCCAGCTGCCTTGGAGGGGAAAGGGGAAGGAATGGAATGCTGAAGTGCCACAAACTGAGCATCCTAAATCCCTTTCCAGTTATCAAGAAACATCTGGGATGGGGTAGGGTGTGGGGGTTGGGCAGAAGCAGAAAGGGCTGAGGCAGGGTTCTATACCCCTTGTACTGTAAGTTAAATCTCAGTGGCAGCTGGAAGTCAAGCTGGATTGTTCCGCATTGATGGGGCCGACCCAGGGCATCATGGAGGTGCACATCAATCTAGGGAAGAAAGAAGGGAGAGGTGAGAGAAATCAGACCCAATAGCTTCCAAGACCCTCACAGCTGTCTCTTCTACTACCATGTCACAGGTTATATGGAGCGCTGACTCTGATGGCCAGTACTCCTCCCCTCCTGCCCTTCCCCACGTCTCCATCTTAGAGACCTACACCCATATCTTGTCATCTCCCCAGGGGCCACACTTGAGTCCACTCTCGATCTGATGACTCTCACGGCCGCTGCTCGTGTCACTGAACCTGCGGCTCCTTTGCTCACCGTAGGCCCATCTCCCGCTCACCACTCCACTCAGCTGAGATCTTTTCTAGTTCCCTTCATTTCCGCTGTTGTTTTGCTGTCTGATCAATATGGCCAATCCTGCCCACTTAGTCTTCTATTCCCCTAACTCCTCAGCTTTACAGAAGAACTGCTCGGCGCCACCTAACATGTCACATGCCAAAGCAGAGACTGATGCCACTATGGAAGCTAGTTTCGAGATTCTGCTGGTCTCCTGCAAGCCCTCGGCTGCCCTGATCAGCATTTGATCTTTTGCCTTATTCTCCTTAGGGATTTTCAAATTCTTTCTTCTCTCGGCCACACGGTTTTTTGTTTTGTTTTTTTGAGACAGGGTTTCTCTGTGGCTTTGGAGCCTGTCCTGGAACTTGCTCTGTAGACAAGGCTGGCCCCAAATTGAGAGATCTATCTGCCTCTGCCTCCCTAATGTTGAGATTAAAGGCATGCGCCACCAATGCCAGGTTTCTTTTTTCATGTGTGTATGCCTGTGTATACACACGTGTGCACGAGGCTAGAGAAGCTTACCCTGGTCTTCTACTGTTCTCTGGCCTCATTCCCTTGAGGCAGTGTAATGGTTAATGTCAACTGTCAACTTGACCGGGCCTAGACTCACCTAGGAGCTGGGCTTCTGAGTATGCATGTCAGGGACTGTGTTGCTTAGGTTGACTGTGGGCATTCCCTGTGAGGGGTCCTGGAGTTCAGGACTGGGTCCATCCCTGCTCTCTGTTCTTGACTGTGGTGCAGTGAGAACAGGTGCTTCACCAGGACTATACCCTGAACTGTGAGCCAGGATCCCCCCTTTCTCCCTTAAGTTATTTTATCAGAGTGTCTGATCACAGACAGCACAGGAAAAGAGCCTAAGATAGAAGGGCCTCTCCCTGAGCCTGGAGTGTGCCCTGTCACTGTGTCCGCCGCCCGCAGACCAGCAGCTAGCACACCCCAGTGATGGTCCTATCTCCACGGGCCACAACACTAGGGTTAGAGGCACTGAGGAGACCATAGCTAGCTGAAGTGTGTGCTGGGTTCCAAGCTCAGGCCCTCATGATTGTACAGCAAGCCCTCTAACTCAGAACCATCTCTTCAGCCCCCTTTTAATGAAACAGTACCTTAACAAAATTCAAAGTTTATCACTGACTGCTAACTCTATAGCCTGGGTGCACTGTTTAACTTTTTGAATTTCTTAGTAGCAAAAAGAATAGTCCTATGCCCCCCTCACTTAAGTGCCTCTGACTTAAAAATTAAAAAAAATTTTTTGGGGGGGTGGGAGTGAGAATTGTGGTTGGGATGTAAAATGAAATTTAAAAAAATTTTTTCCAAGAGTTATTATGTTTAGCCAGGCATGGCACACGTCTTTAAAAAGAGCACTCAGAAGGCAAGTGGATCTCTGAGTTCAAGGTTAGCCTGGTCTTCAGAGCTAGTTACAGGACAACCAGGATTACACAAAGAAACCCTGCCTCCAAAAAAGCTACCAACAAAAAAAGATTTATGATTATCTGTGTGCCTGTGTAGTGAATGCCATTTGTGTTTGTGTGACCGTGGAGGCTGGCACTGTAGTTTGGCAGTTATGAGCTGCCTGACAGGGGCAGCAAACCCAGGTCCTCTGCAGGTGACACTGAGCACTGAGCCACCACCAGGCCCAACTCTGGTTGTTGTTGTTGTTTTGTGGGTTGCTTTTTGTTTTTGTTTTTTGGGACAGGGTCTCACTGTGTAGCCCCGAACCCACAGAGATCTGCTAGCATCCACCTCTCAAGATTTAGTGTTGGGATTATGGTGCGCACGCACTGTACCATCAGATCAGGTCCCCAACTCTTCGGAATTTTAAATTTTCTTGTTTTTCAAGACAGGGTTTCTCTGGGTAATAGCCCTGGCCATTGTGGAACTTGTATTTTAGACCAGGCTTTGAACACACTGAGATCTGCCTGCCTGTGCCTCCCGAGTGCTGGGATTAAAGGTATGCACCACCACCACCCGACTTAGATAAACCTTAAGAACTGGAGTTATAAATGTACGATTGTGAGCCAACAAACGGGTGTTTGGAACTGTACTCAGATTCACTGCAAAAGCAGCAAGGGCTTTTAATTGCTGAGCAATCTTCCCAATCCCCAGAAATAAATAAATATTTAAAAAGAGCAATACAAACAAACAAACAAAAAACTGTAAAAACAAAACTAAACAAACCCAATATCCAAGCTGGGTGTGGTGGAGCACACATGTAATCCTGGCCCTGGGAAGCAGAGGCAGGATGTTGAGTTGGAGGGCAGACACATAAACAGTTCCAACCAGGCCAGGCAGTGATGTCGCATACTTTTAATCCCACCACTTGGGAAGCAGAGGCAAGCTAATCTCTGAGTTTGAGGGCAGACTGGTCTACAGAGTGAGTTCTAGGGCAGCCAGCGCTACAGAGAAGCCCTGTCTTGAAAAAAACAAAACAAAACAAAAAAACTAAAAATAAGCAAATAAATAAAGTTCCAAAGCAATCTGTGCTCACATGAGAGCACCCAAGAAAGCAAAACTCGAAAGGTAGCCTCGCTGCCTTGTCTTTTTTCTTGTGGTGCTGGGGATCATGTCCAGGGCCTCTGCAACTTGTGTCAAATTGTTCTATCACTGAACCTTATTCCTACTGACCTGGTTTTGAGATTAGGTCTTTTTTGCTACCCTGGCTGGCCTCAAATTCCAGGGCTCAAGCGATCCTTCCTGAACCTCCCAAGTACTTGCAATTACAGCTTAGTGTCCACAGCAGACTCCTAACAGCCTTTGTGTTCAGTTCAGCAGACACACACCAAGTCTTTTCTGCCCTATGCTTTTCATTTCTTCTAACCTGCTATGTGGATTTATACCCCATCCTCCAACCTCTGCCTACACCATTCCCTCCCAGAGAGAGGTCTTCATGAGTAGACTGGAAACGGATTCCTATAGGAGGTCTACGCCCATGGCACTGTCACAGTAGCTGTACGTCTCAGGTCCACTGGGCTGACAGGGCCTATTTACCTACCACAGCCTTCATGAAACTCACACAGGGCAGAAGTGTACTGTTCTACTTTATATCCTACACAAGTTTTAAAACAGTTCTTTGTAGATACAACTTAAACAAGGAGACTAAATACAACTCTTAAGTGTAGTTCCAGCTTGCCTTAGGTCCATAGAAAGCGCCATCTCCAGGGTTAAGGTCCCAGGGTTCTCCAAATTCCTCCAAGGCTTGTTGCAGGACCTTAGAGAGAACAAGATGACAAGAGTATGCAGGAAACTGATGAGCAAGATACCCTGCTGGTCCATGAGAACGGACACCCACACCTTTGCCTTCACCTGAAAATCTTGGCTACCTTATCCCCTCCCTCTCCACTGTAGCCATGTTTATCTGCTTTGCTGCCCTTTCTCCTACTCACCTGCTCAGCCTGGTCCCACAGGTGAGGCTCCCCTAGGAAGCCAGATGGCCGGGTAGATAAAGCCAAGTGGAAAGAAAAACCAAGAACAGCATAAACAGATCGGAGAAAATCAAGGCAGTCTCGGATCTCTGCTTCCAACTAGAGACAGGAAGTTGGGATGTCAGTTGTAGGCCAACTAGAAATCTGAGGTGGATGGGTAGTTTTGGGGAAAATGGAGACAGGGTGGGAAAGGGGACCCAACACACAAGTCAGGACCAGAGGGACAGCTATACTACAGATAAGAAGGCAACTGGGGCCTGTAGATGCAGCTTGGTTGGTATAAAGCCTGGCTAGTGTGCATGAAGCCCTAGGCTTGATTCCTAGATAAATCAAGCATGGTAGCACACACCAGCAATCCCAGCACTCAAAGGCAGGAGGACTAGATTCAAGGTCACCCTCAGCTACATAGTACATTTGAAACTACATAAGACCCTGTGTTGTGTTACATTTAAAAGGCAAAGGAAGTCGACCCTTTGAAGAGCAAGGAAAGCCACCTGATTTGGTGCACAGAAGATGTGAGCATCATCCTGTTGGAAGCGCCACAGGCGTGTTAATCCTCCCAGACTGCCAGAGGCCTCAGCACGATGCAGGACTCCAAAATCAGCCAGTCGCACAGGCAGTTCCCGCCAGGATCTGGGCCGGTGGGCAAACATCAGGCTGAGATTGGGATGGGAAGGGGTTAGGGCCAAAGGGAAAAGGGGCCATGGCCAACTGTTACTTTTCCTACTAGGCTCATTTCCTTTGAGACAAGGTCTTAGTATGTAGCCCTGGCTTACTTTGCTATGTAGCCTAGGCTGGCCTTAGACTCACGATCTTTCTGTCTTTGCCTCCCCAGATCTGAGCTTACAGCTGTGTGCCACCATGCAGTACCAGTGACCACTCTCTCTTGGCACACACTCCCACTGAATCCTGCCAATCCTATCATTAGTGTCAGGTCAAAGGTCAGATTCTAGCAGTGGAGACAGCACAAGCCTTTAATACCACCATGCAGAGACAAGTTTGAGGCCAGCCTGGTCTACATACTGAGTATGGGGTCAGCTGGAGCTGCACAGAGAGACCCTGTCTAGAAAAAAAAAGTTAAACTCTTAGTCACACAAGAGCAGGTATTATTTACTGTGCCTATATTCTGTGATGGGTACAGAGCCTTGATATAGCCTAATGAAACAAGGGCCCAAGAAATGGAATAATTTCCCAAAATTCACTTGGCTAAACTTGAATCCACTGGAGGTAGATTCAAGACCCAAATCAGATGCCCCAATATTCTTTCCAAGGTACTTTTACTACTTTACATTTTGTGACTGTCACCCCAGGCCCAGGTGGAGCCAGGTTTCCAAGGTCTCAACTCACCAGTGTGCAGGACAATTCATGGGCTTGAGAGCAAGTGTGTCTTTGGGACACCTGGCACGGGGGTCACTCTGAGAGATGTCGGGACCATTAGTGCCTGGGGGCTTCAGGGAAAACATGTCTGCCCTATAATGCTCCCAATGCCCTGACTGTTCCCAGAGTTTTGTAGAAAACAGCGTGGGAGTTTTCACCTCTGAGAAACCACGGTGGGCGTACTCAGCCTGCAAAGGTGGATACAGACACCAAAAGTCAATGTAACTGGAAGGAGAGGAGACAGAGCTTTGTGATTCTCTTGGGAACTCAGACCATGCTGACCACAGCCACAAGCTATTAAATGGCATTCTGGCTCTCCAAGCTGCTTCACTGTAGAGCACACCACAGCAACACCTTGTTACAAGTCACCAGTTACATAACGCCTGTGTTCGTTTCCTCTGACACAGCGCCTTGCTGTGACCCAGCCGTCCTCAAACTCATGATCCTTCTGCCTTACTCTTTTGTGCTGGGACTACAGTGTGTGCCAGCACGCTTGAGCCAAATTCAAACACCTCGGTTTACTCTAGGCCCCATCCTTTCCCCTGCACACGTGCCCTGCTTACCCTGATGAAAGTCACCAGGGCATTATAGACTCTTGTCCCTCGTGGCAGGAAAAAGCAGCTCCCAGGGCTCAGTTCATGGAAGAAGAAGAGCTCCTGTTCCTGGGGAAAGGATATTACGTGTCAATCAAGAGGGGAGGGTTTTGGAACTAAAGATGCAAATGACAGAGCTGCCCCCCTGCATTAGCTGAACCTCTGGGCAAATTCACAATCACATTCTTTGGCCAGATGTGGTTGTATGGCCTGTAATCCCAGTACTTGGGATGTAGAGGCAGCAGGGTTAGGTGTTTGGCTATAGCAGAAAGACAGCCCAGGCTACATGAGACCCTGTCTTAAAACATCAAAGCCGAACACCACTTAAGACAAAGCAACCGCACAAGCCCACATCGCAATCCTTCCCCTTCCACCCTCCGCGCCGTGTCCCCACCCCTGAGCTCCGTACCTTCCCGATGCGCCTGTGGTCTCGGAGCAATGCCACCTCCCGCTGTTCTTCCCAGGCCCTCAGTAACTCTGTGCTGGGGAAAGAAATGCCTGACACTCTCTGCAGTGTCTCTGGAGCTGCTGGGGACCTCCATGAGGCCGAGGAGTTCTGTGAGAGGGCAGAGGGACGGAAGTGAAGAGTACTGGAGGCACTGGCCTTTTTTTCTTTTTTTTCTTTTTTTTTTTTTGGTTTTTTGAGACAGGGTTTCTCTGTATTGTTTTGGAGGCTGTCCTGGAACTTGCTCTGTAGACCAGGCAGGTCTTGAACTCACAGAGATCCAGCTGCCTCTGCCTCCCGAGTGCTGGGATTAAAGGTATGCACCACCACCGCCCGACAGGCACTGTCCTTTCTGTCAGCCACTATGATGCTCTTGGTCCAGAGGTCACCACTTGAAGATCAGTCCACCCCTCATCACGTGCCCACCATCATCCCGGTAGGCTGCTCCCTTCATCCTTTGTATCCCCTGACTGTATCTTTTGTGCATTGTGGTCAGATGTGATCTCACACAGCCCACTTTTTCTCTGCACTCTCAATGCCCCACCAGCACCCCTATCTTTAGTTGTACCTCCTAACTAATGACTGCTTAGGAGAAAAACTAAACTATGGTCAAATGCCAGTCTGTCCGCCATTCCCTATTACTATGCTACTCAACCTTCCACACCCCATCCTACTCCTAGCCATATGAAATTCAAATGCCCCTGCTTGCTTTTTGACAGTAATAAGACCCTTTGCTGTTGTTTTTAAGACAGGGTCTCAGGTAGTCAAAGGTGACTTAAGACATGACACATTGCTCAAGGATAACCTTGAACTCCTAATCTTCCTGCCTCCATTTTCCAAGTGCTGGGATCACAAGCATGTACTAGCATGCCTGGGTTGAAAGAACTGACAATTTATAGCCTTTTCCTTAAACACTGTCTTCTGGGCTTGCTAGCAGGTTTGTTTCTATGGCATGGCTTTACCAGTGGTACAGGAATAGTCAGCCTTGTTTTATAGATAGCAACAACAGGTAAGGAGATTTGGCCTCATTAGTACCAGAATTTGATTGTGCATTTGGCTCAATTTTCAGGAGTTTTTTTCCACATGTCTGCCTGTCCCTTGTTACCTTCCACGACATCTAGGAAGAGCACTTCCATGGAAGGTATGCCCTCGCCTTGGTTGCTCTCCCTAGTATCTGCCAAACAGGAGCACCTGTCCCCTGGACATGGTCTTCTCCACGTACGCATGCCTTCCTCATATGACAATGTACAGCCCGCTCATGATCTTGCTTCATTTCCCTTAATCCAGAGCCAGACTAGGGAGTCTGAATTGAATTCTGAACCCTGCCATGAAACTTTAAGATTCCAGAATGGAGGAAACGGTCTTTCTCCCAGATTCCCTCATTAGCCATGAGGGCAGACAAGGGGCTTGGAGGAGGTCTCCATTCCACTCTGCAGCTCTCTCCTGACACACACAGCTCACCGTCAGCAGCTTCAGCACTCCGATCTGTCCCGTGTGCCGAAGATGGGGTCCTCGGCAAAGGTCAACCGACATGCCACACCTGAGACAAAGAGGCTAGTTAGGGCTTCCCAGGGTCTCCTGCTTACTTTTCTCCCTTTCAAGGCCTTCAACTGACAGACGAGGCGTTAAGGAAGAAACTGTTTTGCTGACAGAGACAGCAATGACAGATAAAAGCAAATTCCTCTTCCCGAGTCTTTTTCTAGAGCAATACAGATTATCTGCCATCACTCTTCCTTTACCCCAGTTGGGGCCTCTGCACAGCTTCCCTGTTTCCTTCGCTCTTGACAAGGCTCACCCATACACTGTTGCTGTTGGGCCAGTCACTTTCTCCTCGATCAGATGGAGCTTGAAATGGTTATCCTAGATGAAGGCAGAAAGGGCCATGAAGCCACAAGGACATCCTGGACGTGATCCAATTTCTCTTGTGCACTGCCAACTCACCTTGAAGAGCTGCCGGAGCTGATCCCGAGAAACCTCCAGCCTCCGGAAAGGTTGAGCAGCAGCTATGATCTCCTGGCAAATCCGCTCTAAAACGGGCAACTCTGAGCTTCGGACTGTCCTGGAAAAGGGAATTTGTGGACTTGCTTCTTCAGAGACAACCCCTGAGTGATGGCACATTAGCTAGGGAGTAAAATTCTTCTCTTTGACATAGAAATGTATAATTACTGGCAAAGAAAAACTCAGAAAATACAAACAGGAAATTAAGTATAGTTTTTGTTTTTCAAGATAGGGTTTCTCTGTGTAGCCCTGGCTGTCCTAGAACTCATTCTGTAGACCAGGCTGGCCTTGAACTCACAGAGATTCATCTACCTCTGCCTCCTGAGTGCTGGGATTAAAGGCGTGCGCCATTACACCAGTGTATGGAAATTGAGATTGAGAGATTCATCTACCTCTGCCTCCTGAGTGCTGGGATTAAAGGCGTGCGCCATTACACCAGTGTATGGAAATTGAGATTGAGAGATTCATCTACCTCTGCCTCCTGAGTGCTGGGATTAAAGGCGTGCGCCATTACACCAGTGTATGGAAATTGAGATTGAACCCTAGGCCCATGCTCATGCTAGGCAAGCACTCTACAGGCAAGGCAGGAGGGCCATGAGCTCAAGACCAGCCTGAACTATAAAATGAGACAGGGAGAAAGGGAGGAAGGAAAGGAAGGGGAGAGGGGGCAAACAGAGTGTGTGAGCCTGATGAACAAAATTACAACTGTAATAAGTTCATGAGGATTTGAAGAGGTGAGTTTCATCAGGATTAGAAGAGAAACCTCCTGGAGAAGGGATGTCAATCTCTGGTTGACACCGAGACCTCTTCCAGCTTCTCTAAACTGAACTTGCCCTAAGACCCTGGAAACCACCCCAGAACCAATCTTCTTCCATGGACTGCTTACCGCTCTTTTCCCAGGAAGAAGTCATGGTAAAAGCCAGATTCCGTACTTGGACCTCGGCAGAGAACAGCACCCATTTGTTGCTCAGCGGCTGCACCCAGAACATGGGCACTAGAGTGCCAGAGTACCTGAGTCACAAGAACACAGTGAGCTCACAACTGCTCACGTGAGCCCCAGCTCTAGTGCCAGAGTACCTGAGTCACAAGAACAGTGAGCTCACAACTGCTCACGTGAGCCCCAGCTCTCTCGATTTCCTCAGAGCTGGCTGAGAAGCTGCTGTGCTTGTGACAAGACTGACAGCTACAAAATGGATCATGGAGTTCTAAGGATGACTTCTACACAGTAAAAGGTTGTCTTCAATGGGGCGCTAGAGAAATGCTCCAAAGGTTAAGAACACTTGTTCCTGCAGAGGACCCAGGTTTGGTTCCCAGCACCCATATCAGGTAGCTTACAACCACCTATACAATTGTGACTTCAGGGGATCTGACACCCTCTTCTAGACAACACGGGCATCAGGCACACATGTAGACACACAGATACAGGCACTGATGTTTACACAAAAAAATAAAAATCTCTAAAGAAAGCAGAGAGTCAATGCTGTTTTTTCTTCTGCTGAATAGACGTGTGTTTCCTGAACCAGGGTTACAGAAGGAGGCGCTGGCCTCTTTCCTGCTCCTGTAAGCGATAGAGCTTTACTATACCACTACTAACAAAGAATGTGGTTCTAACTGGCTGTGCTGCTGTGCACATGTACCTGCTCCCCCTACACACACACACACAAGGCTATGATTGGAGGTTAAACTTGGACTACAAGGAAGGAAAGAAAGAAGGAAGTAAGGAAGACAGACATCAGTTATCTAATTAGGTTCTATACTTGCTATACGGAAGAAACTTACCGATTTGCCTTCTGGGGAATCAAACGTCAGGAATCTGAGGTGACAGTCTGTTTCCAAGGGTCGCTCTAGATCATAAAGCTCTCCATTTACTTCAGCAGCTACTGCAGTGTCAGCCAGTGTTGAGCTGCATCAGTGGGAGGGCATCAGGGATGAAGAAAAGTGAGGGCTACAGTCCACAAGGACAAGGAGCTGTGACACCCAGCAACTGTAAGCTGGCCAAGTGGAAATAAGCTTTCAAAACAACAAAACCTACTATTCCTTTTCCCAATGGATGAAGAAGGGCAGGCAGAGACTCTGAAGCTACAAAGATAAATCTTCAAGGAACTTCCCCACTTTTAAAGATAGGTCTTGGGGCTGGAGAGATGGCTCAGTGGTTAAGAGCATTGGCTGCTCTTCCAGAGGACCCAGGTTCAATTCCAGCACCCATATGGCAGTCCACAACTGTCTACAACTCCAGTTCAGGGGATCTGACACCTTCATACCAACACACATAAAATACATTACTTTAAAAAAGAAAAAGGAGCCGGGCGTTGGTGGCGCACGCCTTTAATCCCAGCACTTGGGAGGTAGAGGCAGGCGGATCTCCGTGAGTTCGAGGCCAGCCTGGTCTACAGAGTGAGTTCCAGGACAGCCTCCAAAGCCACAGAGAAACCCTGTCTCGAAAAACCAAAAAAAAAAAAAAAAAAAAAAAAAAAAAGGAAAGATAGGTCTTAGTTATATGGCCCAGGCTGGCCTTGAATTCTGGATCTTTTGTCTCCACTTTCTGAATGCTAAGATTACAGGCCAGTGCCACCATGCTTGGCAAGAAAGGCTACCCAGGTATAGTGGCCCGCCCCTGTAATCCAGCATAAATTCAAGGCCAGCCAAGAATGAGACCGTCTTGATAAAGGGAGTGTGGAGTGCAGTCCTGATGAAACACCATGAGATTTGGCTGGGTCTCATCACTCTTCTGTGGCCAGAAAGTAAGAATGTTCTTTCTCACTTCCACTACAATTTAGCATGGCCTTGCCCTTCTCTCCATGAAACTTAAACATGGCTCCTTGCCCCCTTCTCTCCTCATTCTCTTCAGGCAGCTGGTAAGATTTATAGTTTTTTCCTTCCTTCTTTCTTTCCTTGTTTCCTTCCTCCCCCCTACCTCCCACTTTTTTTTTTTGAGACAGGGCTTCTCTGCATGGTCTTGGCTGTCCTAGAACTAGACCAGGCTGACCTCAAACTCACAGAGATCTACCTGCCTCTGCCTCCCGAGTGCTGGGATTAAAGGTTTTTTTTTTCTTTTAAAGTCAAATAAAACTGTCCTTGAACTTAGGAAAAAAAAGTATGAGTAGGATAAAACCTAACTTAGTCTTTAGAGTTCTTGCTTGGCATGCAAAGGATCTGGGTTTGATTCTCAGTCTTACATAAACTAGCAATGGTGGGGCATGCCTATAATCTCAGAACCCAGGACTTGGAGGCTGAAGGATCAGGATGTTTGTGAGATGGTAAGGGTGCTTGCTGTCAAGTCTGATGAACGGAGTTCAATCTCTGGACCCACAGAGGGAAAAAACTTACTCCTGAAAGTTGTTCTTCGACCTGCACACGTGCACACGTGTGGACATGCATGGGCACACATGCATGGACATTCAGACAGGGACACACGCATACACTAAGTGTAAATAAATAAATAAATAAATTTCTTTTTTGGAGACAGGATCTCTTTACACAGCCCAGGGTATCCCGGAACTCACAGTATCCACCAGGCTGGCCTAATACTGAGAGGTCCACCTGCCTCTGCCAACAAAAATTTTTTAAATTTTTTTTTTGTGGGGTATTCTCCCTTGGAAGCCATCAACCATGTTTTTAGAAACAGGCTCACTCATTGGCAAGGAGCTCCCCCAGGGAAGGCTGGCCAGGCTGCCTGTCTCTGCCTATCCACCACTTGGGTTACAATAACATGCCACCATACCTACCCTGTTTGTTTTTAAACTGAAACTACTATTTCATTTATTTATGGGGCACATGCTACAGTGTATGTGGAGGTCAGAGGACAATTTTCAGGAGTCAGTCCTCCACTTATGTGGGTTGCAGGAATTGAATTCAGGTCTCAGGCCCTTATGCTTGAGTGGCAATCACTTAAATGACTGAGTTAGTCCCCTCTCTCTGAGCAAAGACCACCTTTCTGATAGGAAACAAAGAAAAATAAAAACTTAGACAAACAAAGGAGTGCTTTCTTTTCCTGACCAGGTGCAGTGAAAATACTGGACAGAAAAAATAATTCTTTTAGCTTGATACCTGATCTGCTGGGCCAGCTGGTAAGGGGTAGTGTTCCACGCAACAGCATCTACCTTCTGGCCTTCAGGAAGTGATATCTTAATGGCCCGGGTGTTCTTCTGTGTCACCCTTGCTAACCTCTTCACCTGGGCGGCCCATAGCTCCTCAAAAAGGCCAAATCGCTCTGCCAACCAATGGGGAGGAGTAGGCACAGACGCCTGAAGAGAAAGGCACACATTAGGAGGTTATCTCGGGCCCGATTCCCAATACTCCGCAATGGGGGTAGGGGTTGTGGATGTCTAAGTAATGTTGATCCTAAGGGGACACTTAGGTTAGGGACTCATGGGGACAGCACACTTCCGAGTGGGCAGCAGGTTCTGGGGGAGGCTAGACAGTCTGCACCTGGGACTCTGCTGGGCTAGACGGTTGGGAGCTTTGCGTACCTCATGCACTGTGTGGAGCTCGCAGCGGCGGAACCCCGGGAGCGGGAGCCCGAGCCCGCGCCACCTCAGACAGACACCCATTCTACCTCAAGTCGGTGCTTCCATGCTCAGATAAACGCTTCTTCCTCACCAGACTCCTCATTGGCTTCTGAGTCAATACTTTCCCGTCCTATTGGATAAAATAGCCGCCACTCTGCTCGGGTACCACCCCCAGGAACTCCACCGAGGCACGTCCCACACACAGCAGCAGTTACTCTGGGAAAGGTTCCGGTTGACCGGAAGGTGGAAGTTGTTGCACACACCTGCAGCCCGATGCTCAAAAGCGGCAGGAAGGGGTGCAACTTTGAAGGCAGGGGCAGACCTCCTGAGGAAGAGTGAGAAAAAACAACAACACAGGAGTGAAGTTAGTCATTTTTCTTTAACCATTTCTTAAACATCCTTAAAGCAGGCAGGAAACAATAGCAAAGAATCTAGTGTAAATCCTGATGTCAAACTGTTTCTGTAATCCCAATTTTCTTATCAATAAAACAAGAATAAAAGTATCCGTTCCAGCTGGGTGGTGGTGGCACACTCCTTTAATCCCAGCATTTAGGAGGCTTAGGAGGCAGAGGAAGGCAGACCTCTGAGTTCGAGGCCAGCCTAGTCCAGGACAGTCAAGAGCTATTACACAGAGAAACCCTGTCTTGAGGGGGTAAAACAACGAATCCGTTCCCATTGTTGAGGTGCGTCTAATGTAAATACCTCAAGTCTCAGGGCTTGGTATATGGTAACGAGCACTAGCAGCAAGATGCTGTTAGTACCATTGGATATAACAACTCTAATAAGACTGGTTCAATCTGCCGGGCGGTGGTGGCGCATGCCTTTAATCCCAGCACCCGGTAGGCAGAGGCAGGCGGATCTCTGTGAGTTCGAGGCCGGGCTGGACCGATAGCCTCCAAAACAATACAGGGTTTCTTGTAAAAACCAAAAAAAAAAAAAAAGAAAAAAAAAAAAAAGACTGGTTAAATCTGCAGAGGCCATTCCATGGACCCTTCTTAGTCATGGTGGAGGGGCTTTACAAGACCTCTAGATGTGGTTTTTATTTTTCGTCATTGTTGTGGGGGTGTATGAAGTATCTCTGTGGGTGTGGACAGCACGATTGTGGAGGTCAGATGACGACTTTCTGGAGCTGCCCTTTCACCTTATGTGGGGTCTAGGGATCCAACTTGGGTTGCCAGGCCTTCACTGGTCCCAGGTATAAAATTTAAAAATCACAGAAGATAGCTTAAGGTCACACATTGCTGATGAATCTAAAGCTTGCAGTCTTACAGCATGCCAAGTTATTTCCCCACAGACGTCCTGATCACCTTACACTCTGCTCCTCCTCTCATTACTACCCCAGCCTTCATCTTCCTTATCCCTTCTTTTATCCTTCTCTAGGATACCTACTTAGCTGTCTTTCGTTATCTTTACACAGTAAAAACAGAAATATGATCAGATGATGGGAGAAGAATAAGGGAAGGTGAACTTGTTAGCACCTGTTGAGGTTCAATTAACCCCCTCACCTGGGGGTAGGGAAGTTTAGTCCATTTCCAGATTGCAGTGATGATAGGATCAAGGGGTCTTGTGGAAGAGTTGTCAGCAAAAAGTGCTTAACCTAGGCCTCCACAGAGACCCAAAGTTCTGTCTGGGGAGGGCAGCTGACTTGAGTCATAGGCCACTCTGGGGCTCCATCTTCTGATATGACATCCTGAAATACAAAGAAAGAGACAAGGCTAAGGGAGGAAGATTTTATGCTATGAATGTTCTTGTGGTCAGTACACAGTCAAGTGTTTTAACTAGCATTCAGAAAGCGGTGGCAATGGCAGACCAATATTTTCTTGTGGTGCTGTAGCAGAGGCAGGGTAGTGTCATATGCAGGCAACAAAATGGCAGGTGCTCAGTAAATAACCACTGAGTTAAATATGTACTGGTCACATCCTGACTGGAAATCATAGCTTTTGACACATTTTAAAAATTATTCCAGGGTCCTTCTCCTAGGATCACAGAGGGATGCCACCCTGTTTTGACAGCTCCGTACACTCATCCTTCAACATTGATTGTGTGCAACGTACTGGGCTGATGTTGATTGATCAGCTACCACATCATCACATATGTAATTTGTGTTGCAGTGGAGGAAGGAATGTTGTGTTATTCCCTCACCCATTGTAGCAAACCAAGCAGTTAAGGTCAATGCATTAATTATCGGCTCTTCTAGTATGTGCCTTGGCCCTGGGGAATTTTAAGTCTTTGGTCCACCTGAAAAACATCTCTACAACTTTTTTTTTTTTTTTTGCCCATCCCTCTCATTCCTGCCTGAATCCTGAGGTGCAGCACCATTCCGTAATTCCATCTCATTCCTAGAACCTGGTCAGTAGAGTTCTTATGCTCCCTTTAAACCATGAAAAATGATCCCAAGGTCAAGTCCTAGTCTGTCCAAACCTGCAGCCTGGGTTGCTCACACTGCCACAATGACTCTCTAAGGCCAGATTACTCATAATGGATCGTGCTTGGTACCATGGATTTGCTTCCTTTCCATTCCTGACACACATGACTCACACTTGTGACCAAAGAACACTTTTAGAGTGAAGAGGTACTTTCAAGAAAAAGTCAAGAAAGGTGATGTCTCCCAACTTGCCTCTATGGACAGGTTCAGAAAATGAGAGTGGTCCACAAAAGTACAAGAAACACCTACAATAAAGAATATTCTAGATCCTTAATCAAAATTTATTTTTCGAGACAGGGTTTCTCTGTGGCTCTGGAAGCTGTCCTGGAACTAGCTCTAGTAGACCAGGCTGATCTCAAACTCACAGAGACCGCCTGCCTCTGCCTCCCGAGTGCTAGGATTAAAGGCATGTACCACCACCGCCAGGCTCCTTAATCAAATTTTAGGAACTCAGATTTCTTCTACTCTTAGACTAGGCATCCTCAGTTGGCTGAAGTTTTGGTAAAGGAAGTTATTATCTTTATAGTTTTAAACAATTTACAACTATCTCCAATGAGTACTTTTCATTTATCGGGGTCAGTACATGGTCCTAAAATCCATTTTAGCTCTTAGAGGTAAATTCTGTTTATGGGCACCCAAAATGTGAAAAGTCTTTGCCACTTTTTCCTGGGTATACTGGGGCTGAGCCTCACAAATGAGAACTCTGCACTTCTTACAGCTCCAGCTCATCAAGCAAGTGCTGGGAAGTCAGGGTTGGATAAAGGTCTGACATGGGACCAGCTGCTTTATGTGAGGCTCATATAGGGCACAGGCTCAACCATATGAAAGAAGGGAACAAATGAGTGCTGTCAAAGTCCTTTCTTCCCATTCTCACAGATACTCCAAGAAAACTATGGAAAGCATCAGGTCCTTTATCCCACACATCAGTTGACAAAGGACTTTAGCATCTTACAAATACAGGAGAATACAATGAGATAAGCAAAAATTTTGAGAACCTTTAGTTTGCCATGAACCCAAACAAGTCCAGGGTAGACTGGGTTAGCCAACATCCTTCTGAGTCAAACGTGAACAGATGTGGCTTTTGTTTCTCAGTTGGCACTACAGATCTCCTTAGTGCCTCCACCCATAGATATTCACCTGCCTCGGTGAAAACAAAGAAAAAGGCAGAGAGGCAGGGATAGTTTAGTGCTTAGTATGTGTAAGGTCCTGAGTTCAATGCCAAGTGTGGGTACCCGTGCACACATGCGCGCACACACAAACAGAAAAAAAATCCAAACAAAATCCCAGCTCAATCCTCTTTGCTCCTGGCCCAGGGTCTTTCAAATGTTAAACAGCTCTACTGCAAATTAGCTTCCTCCCCAACCCCCGCAAAAAATAAAATAAAGCCAACTTTGTAACTAAGACAAGGTTTTCTTTTTTCGCAAGTACCTTAGATGTCTACTTTTATACCACACTTCTTCCTTTCCTTTAAGTTCTCCCCTTCTACACCAAACAGGATGTTTGTTTTAGAGACAGCTTCCAGGTGACTGTCTCGAAGCTTTGTCTTTACAGCCTGTGAGTTACTCCTCAGCAATTGTAACAGCAACTGATCAGACTTGTCTATAGTTACTCATAAGCAAGTATGAGAAACACCCTAATACCCCCAAACCCATTCTGATGATGTTACTAAGTCTACACACAAGAGGAGGTAACTCATTCCTGCTATGTAAGATTGGACAGAATAAAACAAGCTGGGGGAGTAGAAGCCATGTAGTTTTCAATAACATGCCCAGAGGCCAATGAGGAAGTCTTAAAAAAAACAAAAACAAAACAAACAAAAAAAAGGTGCTCCTTCAGGGGCAGAGCATTAGGTTGACCAATGGAGCTCTAGAGCTCCTAAGTGCAGACAAGGATGAATAGGCGAGCCAGATTCCAGAGTAGGTATAGTGGTACACCCTGGCAGCTGGGTGTGTCCCCTAGACTGCTGCCATTTCTGAGGTCTTATGACACATGGAGCTTCATGAAATCAGGGCTGCTATTCAAAGCCTTCTACCCTGCCAGTGACCCAAGCCTGGCCCAGATGAAGTGACTATCCCTTGTGATCCCTTTAAGGCAACATTCCATTTATTAAGCCTCATTGGGTTATGAAAAGGATGGAGTAAGAGAGAAGGGCTAAGTGTGGTTTCTGCATGACAGGCCAATCACCAATATGTGATGAAGGACGGATATAGTTGACCAGGACCTTTTCACATACATTCCCCCAATTCTATGCTGCTTTAAAAATGTTCTCTGAAGCCGGGTGTTGGTGGTGCACGCCTTTAATTCCAGCACTCATGAGGCAGAGGCAGGATGATCTCTGTGAGTTGAAGGCCAGCGTGATCTACAGACTGAGTTCCAGGACAACCTCCAAAGCAATAGAGAAACCCTGTCTCAAAAAAAACAAAACAAACAAAAAAGCTCTCTGAAGACTAGAGACATACTTCATTGGTAGGGTGCTTGCTTACAACACACAAACCATTGGTTTTATGCTCAGCGCTGCAAGCATAACAACCATAACAACCTTCTCTCTTGGTTCACAACTGTACAATATTTGGAAAACACACAATCTATACAGTATATCGCACTTCATTAGCAGTCACTCCCTCAGCACCTTGATCTTATCCCATAAGGCCATGAAGATCCTGGAGGTCCAGAGAAACTTCAGTGACCACAAGTGCACAAGTCAAAAGAGGACAGCTGGGAAAGTTCAATGTGAGGGGGAAGTTAACCACACAACAAAGAAAACCATTTTATTAAACAGGAAAACAAAATATTGGAGACAATTCCCCCCCAAAAGCTGGGAGAGCACAAGTGGCTATAGAGGAAACAGACGGTTGGTCTGCGGCACGTATGGCATGTGTTAGCACACACACCATTTTCTGTCCTTTCCACACACCCCAGGTGGAAAGCCAGTGCAGTGGCGTCTCCAGGGCTATCCCCAGCTTTTCTTTCTGCATTCTGTAGCCTGTTTCTCCTTTGGTCATGCGGCATCTTCGACGGAGGGAATTTAGCATCTATAACCACAGGTCTGTGCTACAAAGCTGCAGTTTGGCTCCTGGAGAAGAGAAGCTGTTTCTGTTTGCACTCACCAGAGAAGCCAGGGGCCCTTGTTCAAAGCTCCAGTCTCAAAGAAAAATATCAAACCTTTAGAACTAGTTATTTTATTAAATGATATTAATACACATTCCAAAAAGGGTTTCATTGTTGTTGTCGCTAAAGCATGTACTTGTTTTCCACACTGAACACGTGAGAATATCAATCCAACATATCTACTTTAAAAAAAAATCTTAACAGGTAACCCCACCAATTAAAAATATGGAGGTGGGGAGGGGGGAGCAGTAATTTACAGCCGCTTCAAAACCTAACAGCCGAAGCCTAACTGCATCAATAGGTAACAGGACTGAGTGGACACTCTGCAGTAAGAAAGCTGAGCCTATTCACATGGTCTAGACAGGCTTGCGTACCATACTGTCTGCTGTTTCTGGTATCAGAAAAGATAAAGGCCCTCCACTGCTCACAGCACCCTCCAGGGATCAAATCCAGTTCTGTTGACCTCAGTTTTGAGAGGGCAGAGAGGTGCAGGGAGGAGCTCCCATCTAAGCTTACTAGAGAATAAATTCTCAGAAAACCTTTAAGGATCCTATTTCTGGTCTAGCATCACTGAACTTTGTGTGGTACTAGTGTATTCATAGAATTCTTTGTCTGTGGTTTTACAGTGAGCACCAAGGACCTTAGTGACAACTACTCATTCTGCTTCATATGACTCATGTCCTTGCTAAGACACACTATGTTGTGCATTCTTTAAAAAATATCTTGTTTATTTTTTTTAACTCAGGGTGAAATACAAAAGTCAGAGCATGGTACGGAGTTTAAATCACAGACACAGAAAGAATAAAATCCCTTGTTTTTATCTTTATGAATACCAGAAATGTCTTTTGTTTCACTATATCACATATATACAGTTGTCTTCATTTACTATTGTAGACAGATTTCCTTAAAATATCTGACAGCATCATACAATCCTCACTTCCACCCTGAAACACACTGAAGATTTTGTGGCAAAAACAAACAAAAAATACCCCACAAAAACCCAACCCCCGTAAAGTCCACCCCTGAACTGGACAAAGTACTCCTGTCACAGATTGGCCACTATGCTTTTGAGGACGATTACGTTGCTGAACATTCCAGAAACCATTTTCCCGATACTCCCTTATTTTCTTAGAAAATCAAATGGTCAGAGAGCCTTTTCAAGTAAACAGTATGTTTAGCTTAAACAAGAGCGGTAGAAAGAATTCACATTCTTTTATTCTAGACTGAAAAACACCCCCACTTAATTTCTGGAAAAAAAAAGATCAATTCTGAAAGTCACAATTCCCTGACCCTCCCCCCATTCTGTCTGATGCTTTTTTTACTAAACAAATGTTTTACGACTCAGTATAACTATACTTCCTTTGCTTTGCTATGCTATATACCCAATTCCCTCCACAAGCTCATGGCATCAGGCATTTCTGTGGGAGAACTACAGGGCAGAGAGGCTTAGAAAGGGAAAAAAGAGGAACTGGCTCAAACTGGGAATGTGAATGAGGATGCTGTCTTGCTGCACGCTTACACAGAACACAGATCCCGATTAGGCTGGGCAGCTTTTCTTCTGAGATGTGGTTAGTTCTGAGATGAAGGACTGCCTGCGTGCTGCACTCTCCTCATATTTACTACCAAACTGAGGAATTCAAGTATTCCTTTACTTCCTTATGTCCTATCCTAACTTGCTACAATTCTTTCAAAAGCTCAACACATTGTTTTACTCACCTACCTGGAGATCATCAACATTTACCTTGGTGCAAAACACCAACAGAAACTGTAGTAAGCAGTATTTGCTTCCCAGACAAAGATAAAAGCACTCTAAGCACAGTGATTGTCTTTCCCCTAAGTATTAGATGCAGAAACACAAACCTTTTAGTGCAGGGAAGAAAGCTCTTCCCTCCACAGTAATGAGCCAGGCAAACATCTTATCAGCTGACATGGTGGGTAGGAGGTGGGCACTGAACAGATCAAGTTGCTATCTGCTGAGGGCCAACTCGGCTTCATCAGGATCCCACTCTCTCTGCAAAGATGGCCACCCACCTGTCTCTAAGTCATACCTACTGAGTAGCATGTAAGGACATCACTCATCTCCTTGGAAACAGTAAGACTAGGGGGTAAATACAGGACTGAGAAGGGGGAAATGCTTAAAGACAAAATATTTCCCTTTCTCTAATAGTTAATGTTTACAGAAAACCACCAGTGAGGCACCATAGTGAGTGTCTACTTACACATTTAAGAAGGCAGGGATATTTGACTTACACCTGTTTAACAATGTAGCCAGAATTAACGAGGAGAAAAAGTCAGGGAAAGTAGGGTCCAAGGGCTTAGAACAGATTGGTAGAATTATCCAAATGTTTCCTATTTCCTTTTTTACAAGGATAGCTGGTCACACAGCACCATTAAAGGATCCCTTCCCTAGCTTTACATTCTTAGTTTTAATATTGAAATTATTCATATTCAGCTTTTTTCATTGAAGGAAGAGACTTTTTTCTTTCTTTTTGGGACAAAGTTAAAGTGTCTGTATAGCTCAAGCTGACCTCAAACTTGCTGTTGTCTTGACCCCGCCTCCCAGCACTGGGGCTGTGGGTGTGTGTGCCACCACACCCATCAAGAGAAAACTTTCTACTACACACAATCAAGTTTGTACTGTCTCAGGTTCACTGCTTGGTAATAGTTCAGAGGAGGATGCTGAAAAAAACAAAAGATAAAGAACTCTGTTTCAACATGCCTTTAGAATAAAGCAAATACACCTGGCAGGCCCAAAATTGCACACATTTTGTCCTTTTGCAAACACCTCTTGGCCTTCAGCAGGGCAGAGAATTCAAAGAAGGTAGCCAGGCCAGTCACTGAAATTGCTTAGCTGGGGAGGAAGGAGACAGGGATCCTCCCACTACTATTGGTAAGGCCAAGTCCCAAATGACACCCAACATTTGCACATGTTATTACCTGTACTGACCGAAGTTTTATTTCAAATGTAAGTTATCTATCCAATAGATGAGATAAAATACTGTTTTCCTCCCACTCCCGAAACCCCCAGCCAAATGAAATGGCTTTGGTTATGTTTACCTTGGTTTTTTTTTTTTGTTTTTTGTTTTTTTTTTTAAGAAAGAAAAAAGAAAAACACAAACAACTTGGGAAAGGTCCTAAGTGCAGAGAGGAGTGGAAAATAGTAAATTGTTACCATGTATGTGTTTTGAATTTGGAAGGGAGGCCCTTCATTAATAAACAAACAAAAAAATCAAGAGAGGAAACAAATAAAAACAAGAAACCAAACTGCTACTTCCAATGCTCTCTAGACTGTTCAAAATGCTTTTCCCTGGTTTCCATCAGTACCTGGGAGGGAAGAATGGGCGTTTTGGTGCAAAGAACGGAGGGCCTCTAACAAAAGGTGGCCGGGGTCTCTTTAAACTGTGGAATGGATCTCTGCCGAGAAAAGCTTCCCTAGGCCGAAAGTCTGGCCGGGGACTCCGTAAAATCATACCACTCCGGCCGATGGTGTCTCTGTGTGCAGGAGCCAAGGGAAGGCCACTGCTGCTGGTGTTGCCTCCCCCACCTCCTCCAAGGGCAGGGCCCAAGTGCTCCAGAGGGTGGGAAGGCAGGCTCAGGCTCTCTCGTGCACGGCTAAGACCCGGGCCATTGAGGTCCCTGGGTCCTGTGAGAACCCCAAAATGCTCAGCCAGGGTCCCTTGAAGGAGGGAACTATGGTCCTTGGGAAAAACTGCCACAGGCCCAGTCACTCCATGCTCTGGCAGTGGTGGAGTTGGGAAAGGTACAACCCCAGAGTGGTCAACAGGGGGAGGAGGGGGTGGGGTAGCAAAGGGAACACCAGTCCCTCCGCTGCTGCTAAGTTCCCCAGGGGGCGGGGGAGGGGGTGGGGGAGGGAAAGGAACTCCGCTGTGCTCTCCTGGAGGAGGTGGGGGGGCAGCATGCGCCAGAGATGCCTCCTTTGTAAAGGGGTTCGAAAGATCCACAGAGGGCAGATGAGTGGGCGCCTCTCGAGAGAAGATACCACCGTGATCCTTAGGAGGGGCAGGTGGGGCAGACGATGGCCCCACTGGCTCTCTTTGAAAGGGTGTCCCATGTTCCAAGGGGGATGGGGGGGAGATGATGCTCAAATGTTGAGTTGAAACTGCTGGAACGAAAGCTGGCGACACTCTCCTGAAACTGGGGCGCCCGTTCCTTGTATGGCGTTGTTTTAAAGCCAGTGAGGCCTCCGCTGCTCCCACCCCCAAGGGATGCCAACTCAGAAGCACTTGAGGGACCATTGTCAAAAGAGCTGCCTGGTGTGCTCAGATCAAACCAACCCACTCTTGAAACCTCCCTCCCGTGTCCTCTATTTCCTTTCCCAGGAACTCGGATGGACTCTACAGTCTGTATCGGCTCCCCTGACATCCTCCTATTGGCTGCGTTATGATAACCCAGAGTTTCTATGGGGGCCCCCTTTTCTTCTGTGCTATCAGGCAAGTCTAAACAGGAGGAAGAGACTCGGGTTTCTATGCGGTAGTGTTCTTCCTGTTGCTGTTCAGTGGTAGGCAAGCTGGGCTGGGTGAGGTTTGACAGACTGACACCATCACTTGAAGTACCCTTGTTGGGGGTCTGGCCAAAATGCTTATCATCTGAGGGTTTTCGAGAGGCATTTTTAAGCATATTCTTAAACTCAATCGTCGATGTGGTGGAAATCGTGGAGGCCAGGACCTTCTCCATGCCTGAAGTAGGTGGGTGGCCCGTTGGAGCAGCAAGGGCATTCTGTGAAGAGAAAAGGGAACGATGTGGGACTGAGCGAGGAGAGTCTGGGTACTGCTTCTGTGGCAAAGGGAGATGCCCAGTGGCAGGCTGAGACAAGCTACTGTGGTTGGAGTCAGGGGTGAAAAATGAATCATTCTTACTCGGTGATGGTGACCGGTCAGACCCAGGTTCATTCCCTCTTATACTGAAGGCACCAAATAGCCCAGGGGGAGATGAGAGATGGTCACAGTTCTCACTAGAGTCTAGGAGTGCCCTTACAGATGGAGGGAAGGCAGACTTTACCCCAAACTCTTGGGCCCTGTGGTTATAACTGGACATGATTGGCTGGTAATCAGTGGTGTCAGAAAGCTTGCTTGACTTCAGGATGGATTTGGCTGGTTTCTTCTCTAGGTTCATCATGGCAGAGGGTGGAGGCCCTGAATATTCGAAATCTCGATAATCCTCATCTTCCTGGAAAGAAGTGTCAGGGAAGAACTTTTCCTGTGAAGAGTCCATCAGGGAAGACGGTCTCTCGACTCCCTCGGATGGCTGCTTGTAGGAAGCATCACTGGCTAGGCTGAAGGGCCGATACGTAGACACAGAGTTGGGAAGCTCTTGGGAGTAGCTTTCTTCTCTTCCAGCAGGTGGTGATCTTGTACTGCTCGGTGTTGAGGAACCTGGACTGATGATCTTAGAGAGCAGGGACATAGTGTCTACACTGCTGGATGTGGGCTTGTCCATCATCTCATCCTGGGTGGGTGTCCCACTCCGTTCATCCCGAACAGGGGTTCCATCAATGTTGTCAGCTGAAGTGCTAGTAGGGCCGCGCTGGAAGTCTGAGGAGTGGCTTTCTGATGGGGCACTGGATCCCAAGCTGCTCAGGATTGGGATGTTTAGGTTTAACCCACTGAAGCCAGGGTTACCTTTTAAGAAGTTGTGGATCTTCATTTCCAGGCTTGGGGAAGTGGACTCTGATTCCAGCTTTGGCTTGGAGACCTCTGAGGATTGGCACATGGCAACTTCAGTAGGTGGGGCGGCAGGACTAGTATTGTGGGTACCTGTAAATCCTAAAGAACTGGATGGTAATTTAAAAGTAGTGCTTGGGAGCACTGGGCTTTGCCCAACTGATGCCTTGCTTGCTGAAGTCGAAGAGACTTCAGAAGTTGAAGAATTAGGAGAGTAGTTGAAGCTTTTGGAGATAAAAGACTGGGTATTGGAGAGCACATTTCTCCCCTTTATGGTAGAGCCTGTGGTGGTGGCAGGGGAGGCTGTAGAGCTCTGGGATGTAGCTTCACTGGCTGGCACTGGGTTCCCAGTAACACTCTGAAGTAAAGATGACAGGCCTGTAGAAACACAGATTAGAGGGGTTAAAAAAACAACTACCCACATCAGAACATCAGAACGAAAACAAGGCAAGCTTATTAGATACTATCACTCACTTTGGTGGGAACCAGATACATTTTAAAATACAAAGTTAAAAGGAATCCAGACTAAACAGGCAGTGACTAGATGTCACAGAAAGCATCAGGACAATTTATCAATCTAAGACAGTGAAGCATTCTGATATTCCCAGAACAATCCAGACACAAGTCCAGTGCTAAAAGGTCACAGCAAAGAGGGATTTTTCCATGTCAGAATCATTTACAGCTTAAACAAAACAAAGCTTAAACAAAACAAGGCAGGAGAGGAACGGAAGCAAGTTCTTCTTAGCACAACATTCTAAGCCAGTATCTGTGTCTGAGCTATGGAATCGCTCTAAACACAAATGAATATTCCCACTTTTCCATCCATCACAATTTACTCCAATATGTTAGCATGCACTGTTGTTTTCATGAAGAACATATACAAAATTCAGAAATCTGCTTCAATAGTATTTTTTCAAGAAGTCTATCTCTTGCTAGAGTACTGTCACTTTTAAAATTATTTTGCTCTTCTGGCCAAGCATTGGCGGCACACGCCTTTAATACAGCATTTGGGAGGCAGAAGCAGGCAGACCTCTGTGAGTTCGAGGCCAGCCTGGTCTACAGAGCGAGTTCTAGGACAGCCTCCAAAACAATACAGAGAAATCCTGTCTTGAAAAACCAAAAACAAAACAAAAAAAAGTATTTTGTATGTGTATGAATATTTTGTCCTCATATCCTCAATATATGTCTATGTACCACTTGAATGCCTAATGCCCAAGGAGGCCAGAAAAAGGTATTGAATCCCCTGGAACTGGAGCTACAAACAGCTGGAAGCTATGTGGGTGCTTAAAATCATCTCTCCAGTCCTGTCTTTTAAATTTTATTTATTTTTTTATTTTATATGCATTGGTTCTTTGTCATGGGTGTCAGATCTCATGGAACTGGAGTTACAGACAGTTGTGAGCTGCCCTGTGGGTGCTGGGAACTGAACCTGGGTCCTGTGGAAGAGAAGTCAGTGCTCTTAACTGCTGAGTCATTTCTCCAGGTCCAGTCCTGTCTGTCTCTTTATTGGGGGGGGCTGAGTGCTCATGAAATACAGACTGGCCTTATACTCTAATCCTCTCAACTCCACCTCCTTAATGCTGAGATTTTAAGTGTATATCATAACACCCAGCTTCCCCCACCCCACTTTAAATTTCAAGTTTATTTACTTTTGAGGCACAGTCTCAGCTAATAGCTCTGCTATGGAGACTAGGCTGGACTTGAACTCATGGAGCTCTTCCTGCCTCTGCTTTCTGAGTACTGAGATTATAGGCACATGCCACTACAGCCTGGCTCTCCTCTTTCTTCTAAATTACTTTATTTATGTGTATGTGTGTACATTTGTGTAAATGTATGCCATATGTGTTCCGGAGCCTGTGGAGGACTGAAGAAGGCACTGAATACTCTGGAGCTGGAGTCATTACCAGATAAGGGTGCTGGGAACTGCTGGCCACTGTTCACCCCTCTTTTCATCTCTTTCCAGTTTTTTTGAGACAGGGTGTTGCTAGGTAGGCCAGGCTCCCCTCAAACTTTCAATCTTTCTTTCTCTTAAAAAAACGTAGGGATTACAGGTGTGCATCACAGAGACAATGTTTTCAAGACCAACTCTGCTTGTAAAAGACAGCAATAGTAAACAGAAAAGCAGGCACCACAAAGTCTTAAAAGTCAGACCAATAGAAGTGCTGTTCTTATCATACAAATATCCACAATTCCTGTTTTATACTAGGAGAATCCAAGAAGTACTCATCAGAACAAACTGACAATGATGAGATTCAACCCTGTACACTGACAAACCTCAAAATCATGGAAAAAGAATTCGTTGGTTCAGGCTAAAGCTAGTGAAATCAAAGTGCTCCTGAAAATAAAACAAACCCCAGGATCTCCTTACACAGCCAGAGTGGATTCAACCTCATGATATTCCTGCCTGCCAAAATTATAAATGTATACTGCCATGTCCAGGCAGAAAACAGTCTAAAAGACAAGAAAACTGAAAAGGAAATAACATAAGATCCTCTTAAGCCAATCATACTTTCTCATATCTACTCACTTTCTAGTCAAAAATGAAAATTTCAGCTCTTACTAATCTACCAAACCTATCTTTTGGTAATGAAACACCTAAAGAAAATATTCCTGCTGGGCGTTGGTGGCGCACGCCTTTAATCCCAGCACTCGGGAGGCAGAGGCAGGCGGATCTCTGTGAGTTCAAGGCCAGCCTGGTCTACAAAGTGAGTTCCAGGACAGCCTCCAAAGCTACAGAGAAACCCTGTCTCAAAAAAAACAAAACAAAAAAAAAAAAAAAAA